CCATCAGCTCGTAAAATTCTCTAACCACTTTCAGTTCATCATGATGATCGTGTTGTATGGCATATAATATTCGATTTGTATAAAGGTATATGCCCGCTCAAGTTTTGAAGCTACCATCGAACGCAGGGAAAAGGGAGTTTTTACGGGATTGCTCAACAAACAACGAATTTTCTTGGCGCTACAGGAGTTTTTACCGGACAAATTGCCGATACAGGATCGAAGGAGAATATACAAAAAAAAACGGATGGGAGTACATACCATTCCCGTAAATCTTCCAGAAACCCCGTAACTTTCGTCCGCAGTGCATGCCCACACAATGTTTAGTAGACCACCTTTGTAGTCCTGCAGGAAGAGATCGCATGGCGCGACCCAGTGTGTCCCATGCAATCTCAGACTTGGCTTTGACGGAGATAGTACCTTTGTCCCTCCAGCGCAAGCGGAGTGCAGGAAGAGTCACACACTCTTGGATGAACTGGGGATCAAGGCGTGACTGTTTGGTGTCTACCACGTACACTGCCGCAAGTTCAGTGAAGAAACAAGGATTGGGGGCTATGAGATGATTGGCCGTCTCAAGTTCCTTGTGGTACTCCACCGCCATTCCGTCCACCTCAAGGTTCCGTTTCTCCCACCAAGAAAGTTTGTCAAAGAAATTGGACTTGTTGAGATGGCCATACACGTGCTGGGGCGACCAATCCACCGAGGGCCGAAGGATAGCTTCTTGAATGGATGAAACCAAGTCAAATTGGGCATCAGTTGGAGACAGTGGGCGATCTTCATAAGCCATCTCAATAGCAGAGAGACCATCGCAAGCGATCCGCACCTTGGGGCAAGTTGAAAGGTTTGGGAACCATTGCTTAAGGAGCCAATCAACCGCCATTTTACCGGCCAACAGACCAATGAGTTCGCTATGGTATGGGCTCTAATCCTGGGGCCAACCAGGGGTCTGACACCAGATGATGATTCAATCGCATCCTCCATGCTTCACCAGGAGTTGAACTGCCGCGGTCCCTAACTCGTTCTTTAAGGATCCATCGCTGATCACACGCAAAAGCAGCCTTCCAACAGAGTGTCAGCTAAGGTGGCTTCGATCTCATTTGGAACCCACCCGTAATAGTCTGTGCAAAGCTTGGCAGCCGTCTGCCACGCTTGAAGGATGGATGGGCTGTTGGGAGGGGATGGTTCAGAGGCACGGCCAGTACCTGTGAGAAGAACCCTGTCAGAGCCTGTGATGGGGCAAACCGTAGCGCAAAGAACATCAGAGGGAAGCGGTGCGGTCCACCATGGGCAGGAAGGATTTGACGGGGCTGGTGCGTAGCGACGTGACGTGGTGGAGGAGCCCTCAGAGGAAGAGTGTTTCCAGGTTGCCCCATGGCGGTGGAAATGGCCTGTAGTGGGTGACAGCAACCAATTCCAGTCCTCCAGAGGGTCAGTCCAGGGCCCCAATGGCTGTTGGAGTGGGTGATGTGGCCCGTTGGAGCAAACAGGGCTCTAGACAAGGTGGTCTGCCACAGATTCCAGTGTTGCCAGGTTGGGCGAACTGTCCTTGGCCATTGGTATGGCGAGCGGCAGCACTCATCCCTGAGCCCATTCCACACGGAGCGGCGATGAAACCTGCCATCAGCAGTCACAATGTCAGACACTGTGCATACCTGGAGGAACATTTGACACCAATTGAGCCATAAACGTTCCTCTTGTTCAACCTCCAAGTTGAAGAAGAGATCCATCAGAAGGGAGTCGTCTGTACAGCGATGGGAGAGGGCTGGCAAGTCACAGACGACATAGATGTTCAGACCTTTGAGTTCATGCCATACTCCTTTCATCCACGTATCTGAAGCTAAGATCTCTGTATTGTTGTAGACTTGTTGCAAGAGTCCAAAGGATGTCCCTGTTTCAAGTTGATGGGCTTGGAAGTTGGCCTCCATATAGTCACCAGTTTTGGTCCTGTTGGCTATATGTCGGAGCAACATCTCAAGATGCTTAAACACTTGACAACCAAACGGATGTGGAAGTCCAAGACCCTGATAGGACAGCGGAGCAAATACAACATCCCGGGGGAAATTACGGCAAACACCCGCCTTCAGAAGGCACACTTGAAGTACCGGAGACATAATGTCTGTCCATTGCTGGGCGTCCAGGGTGGTTTGCGCCATAGGATACTCCAATTTCTTCATGCTGGTAGACCTGATGAGGGGGAGGACATCATGTTTGTAAAGAAGGTTGGGTTGCAGCTGTTCTGCCCAATCCTTGGCTTTAGCAACCATCTGAACCTATTGTGAGCCTTAAGGTTTTCCAAAGGAGCAAGCATAACTCCCAAAGTGCGTTCCAAGTCATCTGGTTCAAGACAACGCAGGGATTCAGTAGCACCTGAAAGACCTTGAATGTGGAGTTCAAAGTCGGGGGCAACTGCGTTTTTCCCACGAAATTTCCATTTGCCAGTGGAGAACCAATCCCATGGCAGAAAACAAATATGTTCAAGTCATCAATGGTAATTAAACTTGCAATTGTCCAGGCACAGTAGTTAAGGCATGAACTTGATACCAGCTGTTTGCAAGAGTCGGGAAACCAATATTGTCCAGATTCCAAAGAGCACATACAAAGAGCTCAAGAACTTGAAAATTTGCATTGATTTTTACTATGTGCATTGGCCACTGTTTTCCACTCCATCTCTCAACAAATTGACTACAAAACTGTGTCCTTTCCAATCAGTACAGTCCAAATCAAAATTTTGAAACATGTGGTGGAAATACGTAAAACTGGTAGGCCACGTCACCTATTCAGCCTAAAATAGTACTTTCAAATTTTCCGCGCGCCCTGGTAGAATTTTGTTGATTTTGTACTAATCCATCAGAACAATAAATCGCCATTTTCATCATCAACCTTCCGACCCCTTGTTGACATCAACAAAACATCGGGCATCTCCACTTTTTCGCACAATTTGCTTCCTAACACATCACACTAGTATAATATCGAAAAAAGTGGAGATGTGAGATGAATCCAAATGGTCAAAATCCACCAAAAAGGATGATGAATTTGATTTCACCACGATGGTAAGCTTTGAGGCACTTGCAGTCATCGCCGACTACAAGAAAATTGATGCACAGCTGACAGTAGCTGTATCTTTACATAAGCTATCCTCTTTCTATGACGTGATCTGGCCTCGTTTGTTTCTTTGGTCCCCAAAATGACCACTGAAGCCCACCATCAACGTCCAAAACAAAGAATTATTATGGTTTTGGGAGCCCACGAAGTCTCAAGGCACCAAGTACTTGAAAATTCCAGCAGAGGTTGCTTCTGGCGTTATACTGAAGGTCTTGGAATCATCTGGTGGTCGATATCAAGGTTTCTTTGTGCATATTCTCCATCGAGTTCATCAAGTGGCAAAATTTGTCAAAAACACATCTATGTCATGGCATGGGCCCCACAAGAAGAATAGGTGGATTCAGATGCAATGGCAGGCACTTTTGATATATATACTACGCCATGGGCCGTGATTCAATTTAGGTTTTACCCCAATCATGCCACAATCAACAAGCGTTGTTAGAACTGTATCGGTCAGCCTGCCCTTTGGGGTCCACAGAAGGCCACACATGCAGAGATCGCCGAGCTCCAAGGTATATTATGGTATATTGGTATCTGATACAACGACAGAGCATTATTGGTTCACTTTCTTTGTTTAATTTGGAAAGATTTTGCGATTTCCTTCCTTTGTGCTGTCGGTTCTCTGCCGCTCTGGAGGTCCCCCTGGCCGCCATTTAAACAGCTATCCATCCAACAACACACCAGGGTCTCCCTTGGATGCCTAAAGTTTAGATTTTTTGGGACCAAGGCAATGATTTGTCCTAGATCAAGAATCATGTGGCCAAACTGGTGTAAAAAAAATGTAAGTTTGTTGAAATTTCTGGAATCGTCGAATTGTTGACCTCATTTCCTCAATCTTCTTTATTCTGGCACGTTTTATTTGTCCATGGGTATATCTAACAAGGTTTGGCACCGTTGGAATGGGAGATTTCAAGGTGGAAGTGATTGAGCTGCAGCTACTTGACCTGGGTGGTCAATTTGGCATTCAATCCAGAATTTCCCAGGAATGTGTCCCAGTCGCCGTGTCGGTAACCAGACACGGTAGGACCACTACAAAAGTGACCAATATACCTATATGTATCGACTTTGGATTTTTTTTCTTCAATGGTGCGGCAGAAATGAGATTCCTTGGTCTGGTTTTCTATTGACCCGTTCCCAACATTTCAGGAGCCCTGATTGAATGATTCGAAATTCCATGTATTCTAGACCAAAATTTGCAACTGTTGTTGCGTATACCACTAGTCTATGTAGATTAAGCAATAATACATATTAAAATATCAAGATTTGTAATCAAAACCAGGTCTTATCGTAAAGATGGAGGCCTTGCCTCTTGTAGTATAATTTTGGTTGGATGTGTAGTCGATTAAGTCAAACTGGTATCCGACTCGATCGATCACAGCGATCTCTACCACGGCTACGGAATTTCCACGATATCCAGTCTGATCTTGGTTTGGACTGTAGATCCAAAGGCTCCATTGTTGAAGAGCTCAAGGACGTCTTCAAAGTCTAAACTGCCTCTGGTTTGCAAATCACCAAGATCCATGCAGACAACAAATTTGGAGAAGCAGAGAAAGATCTGTTGCCAGCTTGACTGATCTGTTGTGGAGTGGCTGACCACATTCCAGAGATAGAAAGGTCTGTACAGACCATGCAAAACGACAGTTGGTTGACATGCAATGCGTTGACTACCCAAGAATGATGGTATGATCCATCATTAAGACTGGAGTTGCTTTTGGATCAGCCAAGAGAACTGAAAATGAACTCTCCACTTAGAACATTATTGAAAATACAGGTGTGGCAAATATGTTCAATTAAAGGTGACTGAAAAGGTATATTTGAGCAATCATTTTGGACCCAAGAAATTTGACCGGACAATACAACTTCATCTCTTTGGAAACTGGCAAAGAAATCAATAGACAGGTGGGCAATGCCTATCACTGAAAAGAATGTTATCAAGAGAGTCCAAGAACAAGGTCTCAAACAGCACCAGCCATATTGCAAATTGAAGATGCTCAAGTAAGAATTGCGTCCCGGTCAACCAATCTCTGCGGATGATATAATTTTGCCTGCTGTAAAAGAAGCAGGATCCACTAATCTTGCCTGAATCAATTGCTGTCAACCTGCCGGACACAGGACAGAATCCTTTAGTACCTATTGATGTGGATGATTTGTCAGAGGCGGATGAGCGCAAGACAGATCTACCAGATGATCAAGAAGAACAAGGAGCAGAAACTCAGGGGCCCTAGTGGAGGCACAGGCCAAAGATCAAGGAGCGCAAAATGGCAATCAAGAGAAACCGCAAGGCCTGATAGAAGAGAATGATGAAACCAAAGATGCTGTGTTTTTTAAGGCAGAAATGGAAGTGTCTGATAATGAACCGGAAGAAGCAAAAAAGTTGATGCCAACCAACTGTACAGTGACAAAGCAGCTGAGACAGCAGCAAACAATCCAGAGGACAAGGAACGGTGTTAGAAATAAGCAGGTTGTGATCTATCACCATGAGTGCCTTCAGTACTCAGAACAAACTCTCTGCATTCATCCATTTCATGACTTGTACTGATTCAGCAGAAAGTGTCAGACAATACAACAATGTACAATATCATACAAACACACTTCTTCCAATCCTACTCTGTGGGTTCTTGAACTCTCAAGGCAAGAATAGAAACCGTTAGATGGATATTTAAACCAGCTCTCTTAGAGACATAAAGTCCCCTTGCAACAGCATTATGTAAGATTTTACGGTAACCAGCACTGTAACTTCCCTTTGCCAGCTTCCAGTAAACTGTTACCAGCTGGTGTTTCCTGCTTTGAATCCTTGCTGAACTTGATTGGTAAATCCTCCAACATGTTCTTGACATAGTCGTCCATTTGGATCTTGAGTTTTCCTTTCACCAAGAAATCCAACATCATTCGAAGAGATCTGTGTATCTTTCCTCTGACAATTGTGCACTCATTGATCAAACCATATCTCATATTCAGCCGTTTAGCGAACTCGTCATTCACCTTTGTGTCCATGTGACTTGACATAATATTGTCAACATCAAACCTGATAGTTTGTTGTTTTTCATCAATAGCTTTGTTGGCAACGTGCTGATCATAGGTATGGATTGAAAACAAATCCCTTTGCCTCCAAATCACTTTGAAACTGATTATAGAATAGGAGGCCTGATTGCAACATCCCATATATAGCATGTAGTACCTGCACATAGATTACTTGCTTTCCGTTCTCTAGTACAACGTATTTGCAATACTCCAGGCCATGTCAATCAATACCTGGACCATCATGCCAGTGATATTTATGTAGATGCAATCTTCTCCTTCCTTATCTTCAGGCATATAAGTTTGAATGAAAGCATTAGGGACATCCATTGTCATTATATCTCTACCTTTGTGTGGTGATTGCTTCTTGCACAGCAGTTGGGCTTGCAGTGTCCTCTTGCGATAACCATTCACGAGTTCCATCACCTTGAGCAAGTCTATCATCTTAGGAGAGCCGTTCAAATATTTCCTTTCTTAATGCAGATGCCTTTGCCAATTGGGGATACATCTTTCTGCACCTGCAGTAGCTCCTAAAAAGCCACAAGAAGCAAAAGAAGCTTATGATAAGGCCGTCACTTGCATCAAGCTAATATAGCCCAAATTTGAGCATCAAGATACTATTGAATGGGACATATTGAACACCATCCGTATCTCCTAGCAGTGGCCATTTTGGCGTATGCACAACAAGAACATGGTGACCTGGATGAGGCAATTAAGGTTTTTTTGCTAAGAGTGAATCCAAGTGACAATCAAGGAATAAGGCAAGACATGTTCTTTGCATTCCTAGAATCTGGTGATTGTACTCTAGGGGAACATTTCTTCCACACCCAAAAGAACGCAGGGGCTGAACTGTGTTGGGGAAATGTATTGATTATATTTTGAAAATTCTGACAAGAGGTTGTTGAAGAAAAAGAAGTTCAGAAAGCCCTTGTATCGGCCATCATGACGAATAACTTTGTGCCTGATATACTACTGAATTTAGAAGCACTCCCAAACTGGCCCAGCTCCTATTCTTTCGGCCATAAGGACTAAGCCTTCATGGTGGTGAATTGAATAGGAAAGGCATGGAGAGCAACACCAGGTCTTCAGGATTGGTTGCATTCACAAGAGACACTTCAAGGAAGCAAGACGAACGATGATGGAATGACCTTGTTTGAATTGCTGCAGGAAGGCTGCGTTGTGGTCAGAACACCGACAAAGATATTGGACCTGATGATCAAAGTTTTGATGATATCAGGAAGGGGATTGCCTGATTTCTTTCTCGCTCCAGGAATGCAAACTCATGATTTAAATATTATTGTTGCTTTTGGCAATCGTATTTCTTACAACAATCAAGATGCATCATGGCAAGATTCAAACTTGTTGTTGACTCACCGCTTCACAGTACTTGACCTTTACAGCCGAATATTTCACCGGCAATCGAATGCCCACAGAGTAGCATACTAACGATTAATGTCTCCATTATTATTATTTGTGTTTGATACGATGATGTGGAAAGTATTCCATTTTGGTTGCTGCTCAAGTGCTTTCAAGCAGATCTTGAATCACTGTAGTGTATGCTACGAGGTAGCAAGGTACTCCCGTTTGGCCTGCAAAGTCACTTGGTACTGCTTTAGGAATCGCCAAACTAAGGACTGGAAGGGCAGTCGAGTAGAAGACAAGACACTGTGCAAGAAGTTTCAGAAAACCTGAAAATGCACATCTAACAATGTTATGTATTTGGTAGCAATAAAGGAGCAATATACAGTAGACCATAGCAATTTGAAAAAGTACCGGTACCTACTACTGCACAGGTGATCGATATATCGGTAATGTGGTGACCTCATCGTTGACTCGTTTGACTAAACGAAAGCCATAGCAACATACGTCATGCGTATGGAACATCATACTTCGTCATTATTATTCTATATTTCGAACATCATCAGCTCATGTATACAAGCAATACGCAGTACATCCTGATAGGTAAAACAGATCGAAAGACTTATATACATGGCGTTTCAAGCAGGAAGAAGAATACAAAACAATATCATAATGCTGGCTCGTTCATCTTATTGTTCGGCAGCAAGAATAAGAAGAAGCAAAGAAATGAAACGACGAATTGATGGAACGAGACGACTTGTTTCTTCTAGTAGCCGTGGCCTTAGTCTTGGAGATTCGTCAAGAGTTACGAGAACTGCAGGATGCAAGCGACCACTGCGGTGTTGGGGCAACCAACAAATAAGGTGGTCCACTTCTTCTGCACCACCAGTAGTTCCAGAAATTAGCCCATCAGCGATTGCACGACAACGTCAGAGCAGGACCATTGCTGCACTCTCTGTGGTGTTTGTGACTGCCGTGCTCATAGAAGGAAATGCCAAGCAGGGATGGATAGGAAAAGATCCCCCAACCTTGCCACGGGTATATAGTCGAGAAGTCATTCAAAATTATTGGAAGCAACGACCCATTTCAATTGTTCGACGATTGGGCCAAGTGGCGATACAGCTAGGCCCCATTTGGGCTCGGTACGTGGGGTATAAATATTCACCTTTTGCATCAAAGCGGAATCTGCACGGTGTTGATGCCCAGCTGGAAGAACAGGTCATTCGTACTTTGGCAAAGGAGTTGAAGGATGCTCTTACCTATTTGGGACCTGCTTGGATCAAAGGTATGTGTGTTTGTGTTTTGTGGGCATTCTGTGGGTATTCATGATCTCCATCAGGCGATATATACGACAGATGTCTCATCCTTTGATCTATTATTTATGTTTTGCAATACAAAACTATACCTTATAGCTGGGCAGCAATTGGCAATTCGTCCGGATATCGCGCATCCGTTGCTGTTGAAGGAACTCCAAACTCTGCACGATTCGGTCAAGCTCACAATCACACACGACGAAGCTCTCGAAATAGTACGAAACGAACTGGGTGAGGACAAGGTAAATGACTTGAAAGAATTTGAATTGGTGGCTTCGGCCTCTTTGGGACAAGTGTACAAGGCAAAGCTACAACAGGGCGGCGAAAAAAGCAATCAAACGGTTGCCATCAAGATTCAGAGACCAGGAATGCTGGAATCCTTCAGTCTTGACTTGTTTCTGTTACAAATGTATGGGAGCACTGTCGACACTTTCACTTCCACTTTTACCAAGCAGCCTCCCTATCATAGAGCGTTCTTTGATTCTTTCTCTCATGGATCCTATTCGGAGCTGGATTACGAGAACGAAGCCAAGAATCAGATGCTCTTTCAACATGAGTTTGCAACTAGAGGCTTGAATCACAAGGTGAAAATTCCAAATGTATTCGTGGACTATTCCACTCAGCGAGTACTGACGACGGAATGGATCGATGGAATTCCGTTGGCACATAGTCCAGCTCCCATTATTCAAAAGCTGATTCCAGTTGGAGTGGATTTGTTCTTGACGCAACTCTTGGACATTGGAACCTTCCATAGTGACCCACATCGTAAGTAGTCAAGAAACGGAATACTGTATGCGTGCACTATTTAAAACGATATTTCTCTGACGCTACCTGTTCATGCAGCCGGGAACATATTGGTAACTGCGGATAAAGGTATTCTTTGTCTATTGGACTTTGGTCTTTGCGTCAAGGTCGAACCGGAAGAACGACGATCTATGACTAAGGCGCTTGTGCACTTGCTTTATCGCGATTTTGACAAGTTGGTGGACCAGGATAGTAAGGATCTTGGTTTTTTGCCACAGGATTTTGATACCGAGGAAATCAAACCAATCTTGATCAAGGTCTTGAATGGAGGTTTGCTTGAAGCAGGATCGGATATGAAAAATCGAAAGCGCAAGTTTATGGAGATATCATCGGAACTGAATGAAATTTTCTTCAAGTATCCCTTCCAAGTCCCACCCTTCTTTGCGCTCGTCACCCGTGGACTGGGATTGTTGGAAGGGATTGCATTGTCAGGAGATCCTAATTTTGATATTTTCCAAGCGAGTCTTCCATTTGTTGCCTCTCGACGAGCTGTTTCCCTTTTATTGTCAGGAGCCAACGCAAAACAAGAGAAAGTTGCAGGAATGGACGGCATTGGTTCGCAAGCCACAAAGCCAAGAGAGGGCCTGAGACGAAAATCAAGAAAATTCTTTTCTTGGCTTGTCTCGAAAGCACCGCGCAATGAGGAAACTGAATCATAAAGTAGCAAGAAGGAACTAATTTTTTTCTTCTAGAAATTAGCAGCATCGTATAGCTTGTGTTGTCTCAAAAGGTCGGTTCTTGTCACCAGCCCTACCAACACACCTTCCTCGTCTACCACTGGAATTCGACCGACTCCCTTGTCCACCATCAGCTCTTCCAAATCTGCTATTGAAGTTTCTGGCAAAACTGTGTCAACTGATGATCGCAAGATTCCTCGAACTTTGTCTTCTGATCTTCCCGATCGAATAGCTTTGACCAAATCATTGAGCTTCAGGGACCCCTTGAATTGATTTGTGATTGAGTCAATGACTGGTGCTGACTTGAGGCGTCTCTCTTCAAATACTTGGCGAGCAGAAGCAACAGAATCTTCCGCTGACACTGTTACCAAAACTTGCATCGGTGCCATGAAAGATGACGCCACTAGCTGCTCTGGAATTTGTGACTCCACCATTTTGGTTGCGGCCTCAAGAGTCCCCCTGGCGGAAGTCTCTCCGTCAGATGGACCTTCGCATCGAACTGCTGCTGCGGCTGCCTTGGGATGACCTCCTCCGCCATACTTTCGCATAATTTGATTAAGATCAACTCCGACAGCCCGCGGAGAAGCTCGTCCAATCAGTGATACCCACTGTGCCTTATCCTTACTGCCGCCCTTTCCCGATTGATGGGTAGCACCAAGAAGAAAGACATCCGAATCGGTCAAATCCAGCAGCTCTTCACAAACTTGTGCCAGACCAGCGATATATTCGTGATGTTCGCCATCATCATCTTCGCCCACCAAGACCGTCGATACGCGTAGACCTCGAAAAATGGTCGTTTCTGTTTTCTGCAGAGCAAGATTCAAGACATATCGCTGTTCTTCGCCAATTCGTGAAATGGCAAATTCACTAATGGCTGTCTGAGAAGCTCCTTGTTCTAGGCACCATAGCAGAGCAGCGGCATCTCTCAGCGTCGTGGATTCATACACCAGACCACCGGTATCTGCCCGAATCCCCAAGACAAAAAGCGTCGCTTCGTGGGGCTGTGGTCTGATTCCGGCATCCCGCAAGCGTTCCACCAGCAAAGTAGTAGTCGAACCCACCATATCAATCACCACTTCAGTTGCCATATCAATCAAAGAATTGGAAGTATCAGTAGGAGCAGGAGCAGGAGCAGTAGTCGCTTCGCCTTCCTTTTTCTTGGATTGTGATGGTTTCGAAGAATCATTACTGCTTGTTGTTTCTGATGGATCCTTATTGGTATCGTGATGATCAAAGACGTGAATGGAGCGGGCACTCTCCAACCAAGATTTTCCTCTTCCGATCCGTGATGCGCTTTGGGCATCGACTACTCCAATAGCGTGGACGTCCTCTGGTAGAATGGTTTTGAAACCTCGAAGGGGCAATAAATGTTTGTGAAAGGCCAAGAAACGTTGGACTACAGGATGAACCCCACGCGGCAACACGACATGAGTGGGACGCTCTGGAAACGTCTTTTGACTCCATAAAAGCGACAAAGCAACCGCTGCAGCAAGTGTATCAAAATCAGCATTCGTGTGAGTGAAGACCACATTGCAGGGTTCTTCAATTCTCATTTTGGGTCCAGCATCCTTGTTGGCTTTGGGTTTGCCGCGAATGTTCTTCTTTTTTTGTTTCGTGTTGGCCTTTGCATCGGCTGCAGTTGTTTTGGGACTGACACTGCAGAGTGATGATGACGATGATGATGGCGATGATGATGGAAAACGTATCGAAGTTCGGTGGGAAGCGGCTTCTGATTTTGACGCAAGTGGACCTGCTTCTGATGTGCTTGGAGCTTGTATCCGTGAAGCCAGCGATGGATTCGTTGAGAGGAAAGCAGTCACTGTAGAACAGTGAAAGAGGTACCAGACTGCGAGTGTCTTCATCTGATGTTGATTTGGATTTAGCTGCACGATGCCTTGTTCTTTTCTTCAGATTTCGAAATATGATGGCGAAAAGATTGCAGCGCACGGTTTGTCTTTCGTATGCTTCTAGCTTTTGCTGCTCTCTATTTTTCACTGACTATATGATCTTAGTTTCTCTTTGAATGGCTCTAATATCGTCAAACTTCTCTTTCGATGTGTCAAACTGCGATCGTTGCAGTTCTGTATTTCCAGTAGATATTTTATAATCATATCATGGTTCGCAGCTGTTGGTTCAGAACCGAAGGATGCCTTCAGTTCTGTCTTCGTTCGTTCTATCATACTGTATTTGATCTGACGTCACAAACCATAGCTGCTTGATCGAATGAGTCAGACGTCGAGATGGCAATACTGTAATAATCCAAAAACAGTAAAAGACACTTCCATGTGTCACTCGCTCGCTACAGCATTACTCTGTTGTCTGAAAACTACAGTGGCTATCCTTACTCTACATAATAATATGCTGTGTATGTGTATAATTTCTAGATAGATTGGTATGGGTAATTTCCATTTCCCTAAACAGAACATGGTCCTTTGTTCGCAGTGTTGCTAAACTGATTGCCATTCATGCTGCAGCTCTGCAAAGTTGGGGGAAGTGGAGGGATGCTACCATTGAATCGATTGGTGGTAAAGGTAAGGAATGTCAAAGATGTCATTTGCGCAATTTGGGTGGGGATATTTCCTTGCATACTAGAGTAAGCAAGGTATAGCTGTTCAAGCTTTTTCATTTGACCAATCCAAGTGGGAAGTGTAGTTGACCATGGATTTTGCCCTGCCACAAGTCGTCGTAAGTTTGAAGCTTGAGTCAAGGCCGCAGGCAATGGTCCCTTCAAGTTGTTTACAGCTACGCACACACAAGACAAATTGATGGGTTAGATCATTGCGCTTCCATATCAAATGAATGAATGAATCAATCAATCAATCAAGAGTGAGCGGGAACTTACAAATATCCAACACAGTCAAGGCAGTGAGTTGTCCAATTTGCGCTGGAATCTGATTCTTCAAGCTACATTCCTTCAAGTTCAACGAAGTCAACTTAGTCATGGAATAGAGATGGGTGGGAATGGCGGAATAGAACCGATTTCCTCGCAGCAGAATATTCTTGAGATTACTCATACCCAAAATCTCCGACCCAATTTGATTCACTCCACTGTTTCCTGCAGTACCGACAATATTAAAAACAGACGTTAGCATGGTGGAAATACAACCCAAGGCACACCACAAGAAATGCATCAATCCAATTAATGAACCGTCTAGCTTCCACTTACTCATGAACAGATACTCCAAATTGGTTAATTGTGTGAAGGCAGCTGGTATTTTTCCATTTTCCGCAATCTTATCGTTCCCTGTTTCGGTTGTTGAGAAAGAAAAACAAATTCTAGTTAGATCCCCATACAATAATACATTCACATCTATCATTGCTTGCGCCCATCATCATTCATCATGGACAAAAAACAACTGCCTGTACTTACGAGTTTCAAAAGTCTTCAAAGTGGTTAGGAGCCCAAGTTCCATTGCCATGCTTCCACTTAGACCTTTATCCTTCCAATCTATTTTGGTGACGACACCATTGGAACAGGTAACTCCTGTCCAATTGCATACCGCTTGACCCGATAGTCTCCAACTAGACTTGGTGGCCTTTTGAACGACCACTGCCATGGCATATCGTTCAACCCATAGGTAATCCGAGCCTTCGGTTGTCCAAGTATCCGTATTGATCAACCAATTCAAAGCCGTCGAGTCCACTGGAGAAATTCCATAGTTGGCCAAAATGTCACCAATGTCCATGCTCCGATCAAAGGGCCGCTCCGAAGGAGATTGCGTGGGTCCGTAGGTAGGAACACTGGTAGGCGGAGTTGTGGGAGTATCCGTTGGATTATTGGTCGGCGTATGGGTTGGTCCAAAGGTGGGCTCGGATGTCGGACTATTAGTAGGCACCAGAGTTGGTCTACTGGTTGGTCCACTGGTAGGCTGAGAAGAAGGATCGAGACTGGGAAGACCACTGGGAAGACTACTGGGCATACTGCTTGGAATATTACTGGGTGTTTCCGATGGCATGATGGTTGGTCGAGAAGTCACACCTGGAGCCGGAGCAGCGGAAGGAAAGGGCGTGGGAGGTGGTGTCGGAGCCTTGGTGGGTGCCGGTGTGGTAGGAGTGGACGATGGCGCTTGAGATGCATCCATTGTGGGCACCGGTGTAGCATCCGCAGAAGTAGGCACCGGCGTCGTATCCGCAGAAGTGGGTAGTGGGGTCGTTGGAAAGTCAACAGGAGCCGAGCTGGGGCTGGAGGACGCCGTGTTGGTAGGCATCGAAGTTGGTATCTGACTTGGCACTTGGGACGGAGATGGACTGGGTTGTTCGGTGGGATCTAATGTCCGCAATCCAATGAACCGCATTTCTTGAAAGGGAGACCCCAAACCTAGTTCTTTTACCAAGTCACCAGATTCCATAAAGGCATCCGATATTCTTCGAATTAAGTACAGATTGCTGTGGGAGGAGGAGTCGTCTTGTACAAAAATGGTAACGTCCACTTCGACCTTGATGCACGCCACCGCATCGCTTTCGCAAGTTCCTTGATCCAGAAGTGTAATGACTAGACCATTGCGAATCCAATACTTGCTAGGGTCATGAATAGTCGTCGTTGCCAAGTTTCTTCCTCGCTGCCCTTGACGTTGTTGTTGGACGAACAAGTCAGTGCATCCCGCCAATTTGGGCATGATGGTTTGCTGAATGGACTCTTGCATGGATTCGTATAGCAACTCCGGATTCGTAGCAACGGTCAAGTCGGCTTCCAAGTTGAGGGCATAATTGCGGTCCATGGTTGTCAAAGATTGATTGGGCAAGGATTCGCCCTGTTGGATCAAATTGCAATCCTCCAAACTGGGTCTCTCATAGACCAAATAGGTAGGAGCACTACTGGGCATTTCAGTGGTTCGTGCCAGTGTAGAAGGAGCATTGGAGTTCAAGTCGGTGGGAGTTGTTGTCTCTTCTAGTAGAGCTTGGTCGGCAGCCTTGTTGTCGCCGCCTCCAGTGGAAAGAACGCCAATCCCAAACAAGATCCCCACAATACCTCCACCAATCAATAGTATAGCCACGAGTAGGACGCAAACTCGTTTGGCCGACAATCCTTGTTTCTTTTGTCGTGGCATATTGGCCATGCTGGCCATGTGGTTCATGTCACCCGCCCCGGCAGCAGCAGCAGCAGCAGCATCACCGCCACCGGATGGCACTTGCAAGTGTTTTTCCATCTTGGCCCGTTCCTCTTCTTCATCGTCATTTACCATTTCGGCAATGACGTTAAATTCTCCTTCGGAATTCAAGTCACCACCAGTGGTGGCTGGCGCGGAAAACAATTCACTGTCGTCGTGGTGGGATGACTTGGCCTTGGCCTTGGCTTTGGAGCTCTTGGAATCTCCAGGACCTGCCGACAGAGCACCAGGAGTATGAGCTGCCTTGTGATGGCGCGATTTACGTTTGACATCTCGATCCTCCTTGTCTTGCTGTTTGGAAGAATTGGAGGCAGTAGGATGAGTCGAATGCCGAGAAGACTTGCGGGCGGACCGATCTTCTGCTGTACTCGACACGGCACCTGGAGCGAGAGGGGCTCTCATGGTGCTGCGTCGTTCCTTTTCCTTTTCCTTTGTTTTGGAATCACGACTGCTTCGATGGCCTCTAGAAGATCGAGTTGGTGACGAGGTGGAAGATCGATGACTGTCTTTGAGACTGTCCACAGAAGACTGTCGATGTGGACGTCCATCCTTTTTGCGGCTCTTGTGTTCTCCCGAGGAAGCGACCGCTCCAGGAACAAGAGCAGAGCCAGAGTGGTTAGAGTGAGTAGATCTTTTGCTGGCATCCAAACTGTCCGTAGAAGACTGACGACGTGGACGTCCATCCTTCTTGTGTCTGCTTTTGTGATCTCCGGATGAAGCAATGGCTCCAATGGCAATCCCAAGAGATGGTGCTGATGGTGCTGGGGTTGCTGCGGTAGAGCCACGGCTGCTACGAGGTCTTCGATTGGCATCATCGTTGCCTGTTCTTCCAGTAGGCTTATGACTGCGAGGACGACTGCGAGGACGACTGCGAGGACGACTGCTTCGTCTGATGGGAGAAGAATGCGCGGTCGAGCTCTGTTTTTTGTGAGAAGAACGTGGTTTTTCTGCTTCTTCCTCCTCGTCCTCTTCTGGATCGCTGCCGGTGATAATGTAGCCAATGGCTTCTTGTTGCGCTTCGTCCATCTTTTGTCTTTTGCGAGATTGTCCTTTGTGTGTACTATAATATATTCTGCCAATAGGACTAGGCAAATTGAAACCCAATGAGAAAAAAATATGATGGATATGATTATTTTATATTTGATTGCGATCCACTTTCAAATGTTGTGGCGTTTGCAAGAAGATTATTGCATGATGGGTTGCGCGTGCCCTTTCATCTGATGCCGTACCTTTTCTACCTATGGTCCTTGAAGAACACATCTTTTTGATCCCCCAAGCCTCAAATTGAAGAATGCACGCACCTTTTTCTCCTCATGAGAGTCTTCTCCACGCCCATAAGTACGTGCGATTCGAGAACATTTTTCCACTTATGGAAGAACATTGTTTCACAAAAAAGCGCTAGTCACTTTCATATGTGTGGAAACTATTTAACCAACTGTGTTTCATTCCGGTCTTGGGCCTGTTCGTTAGTAGTGAGATCAACGTTTGTCAAGGGACATTTCTGGACAAAGTGAACCTTGATTCAATTAGCGGATGCGTCCGTTAGATGAACGGTCTCCAATAACTGTAAAGAAATTTGTGAAATTCGAGCTCGCCATGAGAGATCTTGGAGAATAATGAATATTCTACTGTATAGGACTATAATCATCGTCTGAAAACATATTATTGAATATGCTGGATATCAGCTTGATCGTAGATCGGCAAGACGGGAGGCGTATGGGCGTTTCTAGCTCTTCCTTAGTCTCAATTTCCGTCGTGTCGATTACGGCGCGTCGCTTCAGTGAAGTACACGGTTGGCGGACGGAGCGAAGAGTGTCGACGAAGAGGACGGAAGATTTGGAGAAGACATTGTTCGCAATGGGAGCTTGTGGGATGATGGAGGCGATAGAAGGAGTTTAGCTGCTCGGTCAAGACCGTCAGCTCTTTTTGCTTTTCCCGCCCTCACCACCCTCTCTCTCATTTGCACCATAGCTCGGTACCCCATTTGGTCCGGGTTTGTCTGTCAATCCTATTGATTGTCCTTTTCGAATCCTATGATTCGACCTCGGTGCAAACCAGTCACTAACCTAGTACCTCGCTACTGTGCCAAACCTACTCGCTTCTCGTATGTAGCATCGGGCTTTTGCCACAGTTTCCATGGTAGCATACGTGCGCGATCTCTCCAGACAAAGACTACATCATGCGATTCAAGCCCAGGAGTGGAGGCGGCGCCGGGTAATCTTCGATTACTCTTGTCATCATCACCTTCTTGACAAGTATCAAACAATTTTTCACACAACACAGGCTAATGGTGAATTTTTAAAATATACTAATGTAGAAACGTTTATAATATATTAGACACACAAATGGCAAAATGGACCCCGGGGATTCACCAGAAGGTTTGGAGCGGACTTTGATGGACAGTTGGTGTTCGCAAACATGCCTGAAACCACCGTCTCGGCAGCAAGCTTTGGGCCCCATGCACATAAGTTCTGACTGAAGGCCGATGCTCTCCAAAACATATTTTTCATATTTCTGATGGAAGAAAGATCCCATGATGACAAATCGTGATTGAAGCCACTTTTAAAGAACATCTCTTGCATGTTTGTGGCTCTTGAAGTATCCCATGATGACAAATCTTGATTGAAGGATTCTGCCCCGGCGAACACCTGTCGCATGACAATGACGTTTGACGTATCCCATGATGATATGTCTTGATTGAACGACGTTGCAGATTGGAACATGCTCCTCATCTGAGTGACGGAAGAAACATCCCATGATGAAATGTCTTGGTTGAACGCCGATGCGCGGTTGAAAGTATCTTGCATGCTCGTGATGGAGGATGTATCCCACGATGATATGTCTTGGTTGAACGATGATGCGTCCTTGAACATCTCATTTATAGTAGTGACAAAAGAGGTATCCCAGTTCCCGATGTCTTCATTGAAAGTAGACCTCTCAATGAAGAGGGCCTGCATGCTAGTAACCCCGGGACCAAAACACCAGTCCCTCATCAGTCCATATTGGGCTTCGACGGATGCTCGCAACTCAGCGGACGAGAACCAGTTGCCCACTGCAAAAGAGAGCTCTGCGGAAGTTACAAAACAAACCTTTGGTCCAGCCAAAGGTGGTGCAGAAGGTTCTAAAGTCGATGGGGCGTTCGAGGGTTCAGAGGATGGCAACCGTGAAGGTTGAGAAGAAGGTTCACTTGATGGCGAAAGGGAAGCTTTGACAGACGGCCGAAAGGAAGGTGTCGACGAAATCTGAAATGTTGGCGACATTGAGGGCCTGGATGATGGATTAGTTGACGGTGATGCACTCGATAAGACGCTCGGCGAGGCACTGGACAATGCACTTGGGGAGACACTGGATGATGCACTGGATGATACACTCGGTGATGCACTCGGCGACGAACTGGATGAAACATCCAATGATGGACTGGATGATGCACCCAATGAAGCACTCGGCGATTTACTTGGTGATGTACTGGTTGATACACTTGTGGGGATACTGGATTCAAGCGTGCTAGGGCGTAGAGTCAGGCCAACTACCGGAAACAATGTTGGGATAGAAGTCGGAATGCTGCTAGGAACTCGTGATGGAGCTATGCTCGGTGTTGCTGTGGGGTCCTCCGTTGTTGGATATGTGACAGGTGATCTTGTCGGATTAATGGACGGCGCCTTTGTCGGCGACCTTGTGGGAGGTTCCGTTGTTGGGTACGTAGCTGGCGCTCCTGTTGGATCTGTAGACGGCGATTCTATTGTGGAAAGAAACATGATTGTTGCAAAGATTAGTGAGCGGGACAGAAACTAAAACACACACCGTCCTCCTGTACTCACCAGATGGACTTGTCGAATCAGTAGAAAAATCAATGTCGGGCACAATATCAACAACGGTGATGTTCTTGAAGGGTGAAACCAACTCTAAAAGTGCTACCAATGGTTGTTCGCGAAACTTTTCCATAATCTCTTCCGAAAAGTCAGAGGAAGCTACGATCCGTTCAACATACATGTCAAGATGAATCACATAGCGATGGCAAGGAATCTCCGAATGTGGTAAGCAAACAGCATCGATACTAGGTTCAGCATCGACCAATAAATTGACTATAGGACTTTCAATGTCCCTACCTTGACCAATGCAGCCAGCTAAAGAAGGCATCATAACACGCTGAATCGCTTCTTCAAGCTCCAGGGTATGCGGCGGCAATTCTTCAGTCTCGGAATCCAATACAACGTCCACCAATAAGTCGTACTCTTGAAGCGCTGCGTTTTCCTGTCCCACGACAGGCCTGCCAATGGCGATTGCATCGCAGATCTCTTGTGATGTCAAGCCGTCGACACCAGTAGTACCTTCCTGCTTGGAAGGGCTTGCGCTTGGGGAGCTGGATGTAGATATTTTGGTAGATTCGATACCGCGAGAAGTTTCTGTATTTCCATCGTTACTCAGAAGCTGCCATGCTGTAATTCCTCCAGCAATCAACAAAAGGAGCACACAGGCAATAATCCCGCACTTTCCGCAGCAGAACGCAGCAATCCTGTACTTTCCGCAGCACAATTTGGGTGGGATTGCCGGGGCAGCAACAATGGTACTGTCATCATCGCTTTCTTCATCTTTCCTTGCTTTCAGAGCTTGCTCGCTGCCAAGTTCTATTTCGTTATCTTCTTCGGCGGAAGTCCCCGCGATATTGATATCCTTTTCATCCAACGGAGTGGCTAATGGAGCAATTGGACTATTTGGTCGCTGATTTCTTGCCGCCTTTCGAGTCTCACGCGATACCGAGCCTTGTGATACGACATGAAATCCACCGGCAGACCTTTTGGCACCCTTGCCTCCTTCCTTTCCCCCTGCGGACTTGGATGATTTCCCGTTCCTTGATTGGCTAGAGCCTGACACATTTTTAGCCCCTGGAGCTGAAGTCTCTGATCGGTTGGATCGAAACTTGGATGATTTTCTGTTGCTTGCTGAGTGGCTATCGTTCGAGACACTTGTAGCCCCAGGAGTTGAGACTTTGGATGAAGTTGTGATCTTCAGTTTTTCATTTGACTTTTTGGAATCACGATGACGTCTTGGTGCACGTGTGCTCTCCAACTTGGATGCTTTCCTGTGGCTAGCTGATTTGCCATCGCTCGAGTCTGAGATACTTGTAGCACCAGGAACAGCCACCTGTGATCGTGCGGTGGTTCTTTGCTTGGAGGACTTGGAGGCACCAGGAGTCTTGGATGAGCTGCTGCGAGTAGATCGATGGGGACTGCGAGTAGATCGATGGGGACTGCGACCGGATCGATGGGGGGAAGAATGGCCAGTTCTACGATCGTGTGACCGTTCGCTCAAAGCAAGATCATCCTCAATTGAATTGGAACGAGATTTAGAGGATCGGTGGTGAGTGCGAGTGGATCGATCTGAGGAAGAGTGACCAGATTTTCGACCGCGTGACTGATCGTTCAATAAATCAAGATCATCCTCAATCGAATTGGAACGAGATTTTGAGGACTGTCTTGCAGGTTTGCGTTTGGATTGACTGCTTCTTGATCCACGACTTTTGGATTTCCGATCTGGCGATGCCGTTGATCTTGCTGAAGATGACAAATCTCCAACAATCTCAGCTACGATATCTGGGACAAAAGCATCCGATGAAGACAGATCCCCAATGATGACATCGCCTTTACCAAGCGAAGGATTGTTATCGGAGACGTTAGAAGCTGTTCCTTCATTAGAATCATCCATCATGGCTGTTGCTTGCATTGTGTCTGTGTTGTCTATTGTATATGATAGTGCCGATAAATCTTGTGGCAGGAAGGACATTGTAGGGAATATGCGAAAAAGAGAATATGTATGCAGCTGTGATCGTGCAGCAAAACCTTCTCCAAAACGTTCTTCGAGTCTTTTTCAAAATTAGAAAAAACGAAGAACAACGTTGATCGCTCTTAGTAGAAATGCGCCCTTTGCTACTTTTTTATTTATCAAAAAGTTGTAGAAGCGGGAGTTTAAATCCTAACCGCGGTCCGCTCCCAACTCATCATGTCGCCAATATATATGTCATATACATGTTGTGATGATCATCACAGCTTTATTCGCTGAAAATCTCGATGCCTGCGGAGGGAGACAATTAAATGACAGTGACATGAAAGAAGGCTGAAGATCCAGCAAACAACAGTAAAGCCTGGGAACCAGGAGCATCGCCTACTAGACCGGGCAAGCAGCAGACAGCAGGCAGCAGCCAACATCCTAACTCCAGCTTTGTCAGCAGTTAGGAGCAGTATTGCCTCTGGAACAACGCATAAAAGTAGCGTTGCTCGAAATGCATATATATGGTTTATGAAGCAGTGCGGAGGGTGGAAACGTATTTGATGGTCTCCCCCATGCAGTCCCATATTGGAACGTCGTCTTGAGGACTTGGAAAAGGATACTGTATTCAAAGAGAATATAACTAGGGCAGCAATAGCCGAAGAAGAAGCGAAGCGTCAAGCTGAGCAAAAGAAGAAGGGATGAAGACGAATTCTTAGGACAGGCATTATTGCTGCTGTGGTGGTATTGCTTTATCACAGCTCAATAAGGTATCCGTCAAGGCGCAATATGATGGACCGACTAGCAGGGATGACTGGTGTTTTTGTACAGGCGTAACAAGGAGCTTGGAGTCACTGCATGTTCAAGATCATATTCTGAACTGGGATGTTGCTTTCATTATACAAACATGACTTATACTTTCACTCGGTCGACTTCTGTCAACCAAGACCTGCCATGATGGGATGTCTCTTCCGTCGCAGATATGTATTCCATGTTCGCTGAAGCATCATCCTTGAATAATAATTGGAATACTATATCACCATGGGATACATCCAAAATCATGTCTTCCTTGGTTGCCGCTTCAGTCTTCAGTGGAGACCTGCTATCGTCATGGGATATACATCTTCTGCCACCGACATGGTGTGAGTTTTCGGCCGTGCACCATTGTGCAAACAAGATATAAATCATCATGGTGGGATACGTCCAAAGGTTACGAACATGAGATATACATGCATGTTCCTCCGATTTCATCAATCAAGATATTTTCATCATGGGATGTCGTCTCTGGATGCTGTCACAAGTATAGGCAGGAGATTTTATGTTCGACCGTGCATCATCCTTCAATTAAAAGACTTATTGTCATGATCGTGGGATGATATGCTTCCTCACGTTATACGAGCAGCATGGCGCGTGGGCCCTTCCGCATCAATGCAATAATGCAGCATCCTTCATCCATCAGGCTCTGCTTTGTGCATGGAGCTCTTATTGTGGATGCGGCTCGCTTTGGATGCGTTGCAAACCTTTTTATATGTTAGGCGCCACCAACTGCCAATGCATCCCAATCCATTTTATATTGCCTTGGTTGTTGTTGATAGCACATCGCGCATCGCATCGGAACAGTCTATGTCAAATCAATACAGTACTGTAGTACATATATAGTACCAGCAGCATCCCACAGTTTTTTTTTTCCCCTTCCTTGGAATGATGAAGTGCAGAATCGGGTGGTTCCTTCCGACACGCTTTCGATTCAATCATGGACTATTGCACGGATGCATGCATGATGATGCCATCACCGCGACGATGATGATGGTGCATGATGATGGCATCATTCGTGCTTATTTCATCAGATCAAACAACAATAAAGATGCAGATTCTTTTTGGTGTTTGATTTCCAGTGACGATTGCTTATATCGTTAAAACTTGATTTTGGAACGAATGGTGATGCACTGCGTAGGTAGGTGGTAGGTGTGTGATATTATACCATGCATGTCAAAGAATTGGAGTCGGTGACGCCAGAGGGCAGATTCAAGATACCGCGTACCTCAAAACAACTGTGCAATGACACCAAACATCACACACGTGTCTCTCTTTTATGGCCTCCTTATTGCAACGGGACGAACTACTGTACATGTCTCTATGTGGTATTAAAACAACACGTGGTGACATCGAAAAATAGACAGGCGCGTTGAAGTTGTGGGTCAAGAAAATGGATGTCGTGTTCTGTATAGTGGGAACTCTGTGTTCATTCGAGACGGCTCAGTGTCACAGTACCGAAAACAGGAATTCAAAATTTTCGAAGAAGCATGATTTACATAAGGATCTGTCCATATTTGGAACACGTGGTCAGATGACGCATAGATTGAAAAGCTGGTGAGGGCTTTTTCTTATATGAAGTTGCACGCGCGAGTGTACACGTGGTGTTATTCGAGTATGGGTTCCCATTTCGTTTGGTGGCGAATGATGAGTCAGCGGAAAAAGGTCATCCACAGCCATGCGGCACCACTCAAATTCCTGCCACGGAAGCACCAGATTTGTGCCACGAGTATATACCGGTACCAGGTACCGGTATTATACTAAGCGAAAGAATCAAGACCAATAACGAAACGATTACGTAAAGTGGACTGCACTTATTTTACTATTTTTTGAGGTTCACTCACTTCATTGCTACTGCTGCCCCTGTCATAGAAAGAGAAGGGATATTACTAGTCTCTTCTTCACAAATCAAACGTAAACAAAAAGACAAACAAATACTGTACATATAATGGGAAGATCAAGGCGTTCCAAATCAACAGAAAAAGAGGAAGAAGACAATTCGATGGAACCAAACGACGGAGACGCCGTTGTCTCATTATCCAAATCCAGAAAATCTACCTTTCGAGATCGATGGAGAAAGATCAGTGGTGGTGGCAGCAATGGAAACGAATGGATGAATGGTTGTGGCGGCGCAACACCAAATACGGACGATTCGGATGAACTTGGAGAGATTATTGGTCCTCCGGTATTGACCATTGAAGTGGACCCCACCAAAGAGATTGATCTTAACCTTCGGGTTCGTCAAAAGACGCAATCCCAAATGTCACAAGAGTTTGCTTCGGCCGCACGTGAGGCTGTAAAATTGCAAATGAAAGAATTGCGAACGGAAGACGAAGAGAATGATGAATGTGTGGGAAATGCATGTCAACAAGAACGAGTAGCTGATGCTGATGCTGATGCTTCTGATCCTGTGGATGGTTCCAATGGCAGTAGTCGTGATAGTGGTGAAATGAAAGATGCCTTCTTGGAAGTTAGCGAACGATCCCAGCGCTCGCTGCCACCACCCTATATGAATCCAACCATTTTGCTGGAATCCTTCGGTACGGCAAAGGTGCAAGAAATTCGATTGCACAAATCCGGAGATCCCACACTGGGAGAAAAAGTACAAGCTAGGGATTTGGTCTTTCGACATAGTGGCACTAGTGGATGTCTTGTATTTGTCATTCGTCGACCAGGTATGATTCAAATATGTTCTTGACTCATTGGATAATATTGCATTGTATTGGATTGTATTGAATTAAAATTTTAACTCATGCCCCACCTTCCTTTCCTTTTGATATCATCTATCAGGCTGCTTATTGTGTCGCGAACAAGCCCTCTATCTCAAATTTCTATTCCAAAACTATCCGGACGAGACCAAAGGTTTTACGATTGTCGGTGTGGTCAAGGAATTCTGTGACAAGAGTGGTGGTGAAAAGCTTCAAGCATTTCACGACAAGTACTTTCCCTTTCCTCTGTATTTGGATATTGACAAGGCTGCCTACAAGGCTCTGGGCAACCGCAGGGCGGGTTTGGGGGCTGCCTTGAAAATACTGAATCCATTTTCGGATACCTCCAAGCGATTGAAACGAAATCAAATTCAGGGAAACTTGATGGGCGAAGGATTTTTGCAAGGCGGAATCATCATTTATCACAAACATGGGATTGCGGCCTACAAATACGAAGAGGAGACGGGTCTTGAATTGCCCGTGGCTGATATCGTGAAGGGACTTCGAAGTGTCCGACGAGATGATTTTTCGTCACCAACACTGTCAGCAGAACAAGACGAAGAAGAAGGCAGCAGTCGAAGTACTGGCATGCCCGAATCGAGAAAAAGTGAGGGTGATAAGAATCATACTTCTCATCGACATCACCAGGCTTTGGACATGTCCATTCGAACCGTGGGATAAGTGTGGAAATGAAACATTGGGATGATAGGATGATGGAACAAACAAACAAACAAACAAACAACAATTTCAAGGCAGTCAATCAATAATATCACTGGACTGACTGCCCAATTTCAAGAACCGATTGCTAGTACGTGGGTGGTGGTTACTTCCCTCGGCTACGAATTTCTTACTACCTGTACTACACGAATGGTATCAGTGGTGTAGTCCTACTAGTATCATAATTTTTTTATGATTTTATTTTTAAAATAATATTTCATGCTTTTAACTATACTGCTAACTGTACAGTATGTTGATCACCCCATTTTATGGATACCGGTATCCATAAAAGATACCGGCATACATGGTGTGATGTGTATCACATATATCAGTATGAAGTCGCATGAAAAGGGAGTGAGAGAGAAACGTTCCCCAACACCATTCCCAAACCAAACTCCCCCAATCATGTGATGGTCATTGTGGCAGGCGACTGACTGACTGACTTAATCGCGTTTTTCACCAAGAAAAATGAGCAGTGCGTACCAGGTAGTATGTACACCGTACACGTGTACGTCTACGTTCAACGACACGTGTCTACCGGTACGAACCTGCATGGCACATAGCAGATGCAACTACGCACTCCACCTTATTTTGATTACGCCGCTTCTTATATGTTGGCATCGATTACATAAAATCTTGGATATTCAATCATTCAGAAGGAAGGCGTTTGAGTCCTCACTAATTATTGAACACAGTGATTCATTTGACGTTGACAAATGGACTTCAGTACGTAGGAATAGTTACAAGAAAGTGGAACAACGCCTTGCTTCCACCTTCTTCATTTAAATGTGAAGCTATCTGATACGAAGTCGCCAAGGCCTCTCGAACAATAGCTGGTACCAGGTAGCTTGTGGTAGCAAGAACCTGTCGAGAGCGGAGTTTTCTGACGCACCATCATGTATTGCAGAATAATGGCAATCGAATTCTCGCATACTACAATTTTGACTCGTTGCTTTGAAAACCATTGTAAGAGATGAAGTTTCTAGTATTTGCGTTGTTGCTGGCTAGCACTGTTTCTCTCGCAAGGAGTGCAGCCCCCGAAGCCCCTCCGGGAACCGAATATCTTGGTGAAGGGTTTTGCGTACCAGTACTGCTAGGTTATAGTAGTAATAATCATGGCGGCCAAGGTTATGATTTGTGCGAAACATTGGAGCCGAAGAGTGCCACGGAATGTCATGAGCTGTGTCTTTCCACCCCAGGAAGGCTTCAAGGCTTTCTACTGTCCGATATAGTGGATGCATCAGGGACCAGAAAATTCCAGGATTGGACATTTGGCCACTCAATTTCTGCAAATTTATATTGAAATAAATGACAATTCTGTTTTACAATATTTTCCATGTTTCCATCCTTTGTTTTCTTAGGGCAATATTCCGCACTCCTTTTTTGAAATAAGTATTGTCAATAATTGTGTGTAAAATTGACATTTTTACTGGCACCCGTAAATCGAATTAATACCCAACATTTTATTCTGGGCATTTCCATGTTTATATTTGCTACTTTTTTTCTGCAATATGTTTCATGTTTTCATTCATTGTTTTTTCAGAACTATACTTTACACTCCCCCCCTGCAATAATGTTTTGCAATAAATGACATTATAATATAAAGTAAAGGCTCCTGCTGTCAACTAAAACTAATTTCGTACATTTTATTTGAGGCATTATGACACTGAATGACTGCCACCTATTTCGACAACACACTTCAGGCATTTCTTTTCCAAATTTATTTTTATTGCTTTTCTATCTTTATTCTCCACTTCTCTCACACTCAATATGACCTCCAACCCCTACCAATGTAAGGACTGTGGTGATGAATTCCGCAGAGTGAATGCTCTTATCCAGCATCAAAACAATTCCAGTTGGTGTCCAGGTGCAATTGATAGACATAATGGCAGGAGGCAGCAGAGGCAGCAGCTCAATCAGAACCCCATCAACCCCTCGGAATATGTTTGCCAACAAGTTTACAATCCCCCAGTACTGCCCTCAGAAATCGAGTTCCAATCTGATGAGCCAAAATCTTCACTGCAGGAAGCTCCCCATACTAGGGAGAAGAGAAAGTGGTCCTCCTCCCTGGCTGCAGCAGCTTGCAGGAGTTCCAAACGAAGGCGCAGTGTTCGTTCCCCTGTTCCTGTTCCAGAACCCCCCCCACCAATAGCAGCTAGAGATGTGGATGATGTCAACTTTGATCCAGAACTTACTGACTTTGCTGGAGAAATGGAGAGGCTCCACCTTGGACAACCATTCCCACCAAACCTTCTCATTGAATGCAACTCAACTTGCCCACCTTTGGAAAACAGCAGCCTTGCAGTGCATGCACCCTTGCCCCTGCCGAATGCATCCAATAGGAAAGACTATCCTAGGACCACCACTACCACCATTATGGGTTGCAAATTAAACTCGGAAATCGGTAAGGTGTACAACTTTCCAATGGAAGAACAGCAAAGGCAATTTTCAAACCAATTCCTTCCTGCAGACAAAGTCTTAGCCAAAATCCATTTCGAATGCTACCAAGCTGGATCTCCCCTCTACCTTCCAGACAGGATTATTGGGATTCTTCAAGAAGCAAATTGGACATATGCTGGGTTCCATCTTGGAAGTCCTTACATTACAAAGAGGGAATCACTTCTCAAACGCATAGAGAAAACTGTTGGAGCATCCCCCCCCACTGTTCTTGATGTGAATCTTGAATCTGGTCTGAGGACAAGGATCCATAGATTTGATTTTCAGGCACGGCTTCAGGATCATCTTATGAGCAATGTTTTTGCTGATTATGGTAACCTCAGCATCAGGACACCTCAAGACAAGGATGTGTCCCCATTTATCAATACCATGGATGGGGCCCTGGAGGAACCACCCACCATCCCTGACTTTGTCTCTGGCGAATGGTACAAGAAGGCCCTGGAAATGTACAAGCTTGACTTGGATAGTGGTGATTATCTTCTTCATCCACTTGTGGCATACATGGACAAGACTGGCATTGACAGGATAGAGAAGAATGGACTTGAACCATTTGCAGTTACCTCTGCTAATCTCAGCCAGGGCTCCAGAGAAATCGCAGAGAACTGGATCTTGCTTGGATATGTCCCAAGTCTAAAATGGCTCAAGCACCAACACTCTCCAACCACCACCACAAACAAGCGTAGCCTGGCATTGAGAGACTACCACCACTGTCTTTCTCTTCTTCTAGAACCTCTGAAGACTCTCCAAACCCATAGACCCCAAATGTTATTCAGACGTGGTGCCTTTTGTGGTTCCTTCCGCATCATACCCCCACTAGCATCAATGATTGGTGACAATCTGAGCAATGATATGCTAGCCCAAAGGGTTGCAGATCAATCTGAAACATCCCCTAGAATGTCTCGCAGATGTCTCTGCCCTGCTGTAGAAGCGGATAAGCCACTACACAAATGCATTCCTCTCATTGCACAATTTGTGGACAAACTCTCTCAGGGGTCTCTTGGCCCATCCTATGGTCGTCAATACTATTCCTTTGTTGCCCAGGCATCTCAATTTCAAAATGTTATCCCAGAGTCCCCTAATTTTGAAGGCTGGCGAAAATATGTTGATAGCCATGCAGCAAAGAAGGATAGAACCCTTCTTGTCCGGACCAAACAAAGACGTATGCTGATCTGTGATCTCATACTGCACAAAGTCCTAGGATGCCACAGCCTTCTCAATGCCTTCAATGGAATTGATTTTGGTCCCACAGAGAATGGCATACTGGAGGCAACCAGCACTGATCCCATGCACACAATTGAGGAGGGCCTCATTCCAATGATACTAGAGGTTCTCTTTGGCCCCATGACAGAATCATCATTGACTAAGATTGACTGTTATGTTCAGTCTCTTTTTGGGATCAATAAAAACAGGAGCAGGGAGAGGGAGAACTACCCCAGAGTCACCTTCAGGCAAGGATATACCAAACTAACCAATTTGAGTTCATCAGAACGTCTTGGTCAATTCTTTCTGCTCTCTATTATACTTCAAACAGAGGTAGGACAGGGACTCTTGAAGGAAAGGTTTGACCCCAAATTTGATGCTGAAAGAAGGAGACGACAGGCACGTTCTATGAGCAAGAACATCATCAGTGGGGCAAGCACAACCCATCCTACAACACCTCCACCTGTTGTTACTGAAACCACACTTGAGTATGCTGATTCTCCAGACAGTGATTCTGATGATGATGGAGATGGGGAGGAACATGATATCAATACAGAAGAAGACAGTGGCAACTACCCTGATGAACCAGAGACTTCTGAGACACTTGAGTGGGTCCAAATCAAAGAATACTTAGATTTTGTAGGATTGACCTATGTCCACAAGGATTTGGATCCACTATTACCTTCACATCATCAAAGAATTCTACGTAGGGTACTCAAAGAAAGGATCAAGCCTGTTTGGAAGGAACATGCAGAGCCTCACAAGAATGGAAGGCTGCCTGATATTGACTATACCCCAACTCTTATAGATTGTAATCTTCACAATATGAAAGATAATTGCAAGCCATGGCATCCCTCAGCTGACAGAGTAAACAAGTTATGGAAACCTTCTGTGGCCAACAATCCAAGAAATATCCCGGGGAGTCAAAGGTCCATTGCCCTTACAATGCCAGAGTTCACCTACCTTGTGGAAAGCATCTTAACATTCCATTCCTTTTTAAAAAACCCACCACATCTGGGTGCCCAAAACAACTCAGAAGCCAGCAGAATCTGTGAACTTTATTCCTTTTCTCTATCAATGATGTTAAGAGTACTGGTTCATGGGGTTAATCGGGGGGAAGGGACCAAGGGATGGAAGATTAGGAAATTTGTGGAATTGTCACACTTCCTGGAGGATCTCATTAGGTTTGGTTCATCTGATGGATTCAACTCCTCCACTGGTGAAAGGAATCTAAAGATTTGGGCAAAGCTACCTAGTCTTACAGCACAAAACCGGTCTGCCATCATTCACTGCAAACAGATATGTGACCGGGTGTATGAAGCTTCACTCCTCGGCCATGTCTCCAGCTTCTTTCAGTCTCCAAACAAAAAGATTTTAGAGTGCCAAGCTTCCTGCTTGGGTGACTGGATTCCATCCTCCTCTGAGAAGTTCACTCTTTGCACAAAGACTGGGATGTTTACCAAACTTTTGGGTTCCAAAACTCAGGCTGTAGCCACTCCACCTCTATCAGCAGCAGCAGTTGATTGGTTTATGAAGAAATTTGAAAACAGGCCAAGGCTAATTCCCATCTACACTGAGGCCAAAATTTTTGATGAGGTATGCAGAGCACATGACAACTACAGACAGGGTGGTGCATGGAATGACTATGTTCATGCCCAAGTCAGGGAGTCGCCATCTCTTGCAGGATCGTCAGAGGACATTGGGAGCCCATGCCGTCTAGGTGCCATCTGGTTTGACAAAGAGGCTAGTGACAAAGAGGCTAGTGGCAGTTCCCCATGTGGCCTGGAGCCATCATTGGGAACCATGAGATGCCTTTTGCAAGTTGGCTCACAGAGAGATCCAACTTGCACAGCCCGTGACAACCATTCCTTACTCTTTTCACACTGGAAGATGGAGCAAGAGGTAGTTTCCATGGGTAGCAGCTGCTTTCATCAGGCAGTCTTCCAATCCTTCCCATTGGATATCATTGACCATCGCATCTATTGTGTTGACCTCGGTGCCCATCTTCAGGGTAATGCTTTCACCCGAAAAGGCAATTTAACTTCCCCCACCAGTTTTGATATAATTTGGACAGCGATAGATGACTGGCCAGGACTGTTTCTGGAATCTCCTAGCTTCCTGAAAGTTATGAGCCAAACATCTCCTGACTATGGTCGGGGAAGAGCAAGACGTGAGAGTGCTATGTAGGATAGCCATTAATATCTTTATAATATGTTGGTATCAAAATTTAGTTTAGATTTTGGGTAGTTATCAGTATCTATATGTTACCAATATTCCAATATTTAATTTAGATGACAGTGCCATCATCAGACCTATGCTGACTCCTGGCAAGCAGATAAGCAGCAATGTAATCCTTCCTTGACTGGTTTTGTGCTTCGACACACTCTTTCATTTCATGCTCTATATCATCAAGGCCTGTTTTTGGTGCTTTGATGTTTCCGGATTCAAGTCTCTGGGAAAGTAGACACAGCTCGTCAGCATCGTTGTTCTCAACCCATTGGAAGTTCGAGAGTATGCAATGGAATCTCTTTTGATTGTCGGATCCATAGTGTCCCCCATGAAACTGACGAGCATCTATAAGTAGAAGAGAACCAAATGGGATATGCAGGAACAGGACACCCTCTACAACTTGAACTTTGGATGGAACATTAGTCCCCTGGCCAATGTGGTCTGTTGCCTCTTTGGACAGGAAGCCAAGCCTTAGCAATGAACCTTCTGGAGTCAGACCCATGTGTCCAATGAAAGCCTGATGCCCTGGCTTCAGCGCCTTCCTGTGATTAATGTGGGATGGCTGATGGTACATCCCATTCACTGTCCATATGCATCCACAGTCAATGTACCAGGAATCCCCAACCAATCTGGAGCCAAGTGCAGCCCTAATTGCATTCATCAGGTTGATCTCATGCTTGTGCAGGTTTCCAGGTCCGCACATTAAATATTCTGCATGTGGGAATGCAGTCTTTCTTCTCCCAAGGGATGTGCTGGAGTAGGGCTGTACTGCTGTCCTTTTGTCTTCAAAGTGACCATGATAGACTTCAGAATGGTAGAGTTGCACCAGAGGGACCAGCAGATCAACAGGAACATATGGGCAGCAAAAATTTATGAGATCACCATCCTTCTCATGGCATTGATGAAGTGCTAGACCCCCCTCCAAACATTGCTTAGAGTATGCTTGGAATTGATCTCCAAGTGAACAATATTCCTCCATTGGTCCTTCCTGCTCATCTTCTCCAGTGTATTCATCAGTCTCCACTTCTTCTTGATCTCCATCATCTTGATCTGTATCCACCTCGTCTCCTTCACTGTATTCTCTGTCTGCATCACTATAACCATGACCATGTTGATCTCCAACATTTTCATTGCATGCTTCAATTGGATCATCCTCATCATCTTCATCATCATCCCATACCACTGGATTGTAAAGATGGATCCCATTTTTACAATCTATTGATATCCAATTGCGACTGGCAATGATGACCTGAAACAGATACATGTCAATGCCATTTGATGTCACAACTTGTGAATGGCATCCAGTCTCATGATACCCTTCTTCACTAGGATTCAATCTGTCTGTGTGATCATGGTTGTGTGGCATCAAATTTGGCCCAATAGGTTGGAAGGTGACAAAGGCTGCCTCCTTCCCCATTTTAGATTCCCTCGGTAGTCTAAGCTTCTTACGAAAGTTGGCAGCATATCTCTGATCCCGGTTAAGATTTGGACAGAGTGGTTTTTTCCCTGCCATTTCCTGGAACCTTTGCATATGAGCAAATATGTTTTCACATAAGCATCCAAGGTCTGTTATAAACATTGTCTTCTGTTTACAATTAAGCTCCCTGCATGACTCCAGGAGTTCAAATCCGCACCATTGACGCATACGATTGACTAGTCCAAATGGAATTTGAAGGGCTTCTGTGGAACGTTTTTGGTTGTAGTTCTTGGATTTCTGTCTGTGCATGAAGATAGCACCATTAATCAGAAGTGATAGATCCACATTAGGCAATGAGGGGTCATTGGTGGGAAACAATGGATTCCAAGAGGGAATAGAGGCCATGGATCTCCAAACCCTGGACATTGCTTGAGATACCTGGATCTCTCCAGATATTGTGACTGGTGCATATTCGGGAATTAAGAAAAACCCTTTTGTGGCAGTTGCTGATGTGGGATTATAATTTGTGGTCCCACACTTGACCCGTCTTCCATGCCTGTATTTAGAAAATTTTGATGTGCAATAGGTTTCTTGCATTGAAAGATCCAACTTTATGTTGAAGTATGGGTTCTGGATATGCAGCCAGCATTCCATATGAAACTTTGTTTTATAGTCTTTCCACTCATCACCTGTTGGAACACGGTATTGAACATCAAATGGCACTTGATTCTCAAATTCAGCATCCTCCTCCAACACCCCAGTACTTTGGTCCTCTGATGAAGATGAAGAGCATGAATCTGACTCTGATTCCAAGGTCCTGTCAGATTTTGGTTCAGATTGTGCAGCAGATTGGGGTTTGGTAACTCCTGAGGATAGATCTTTTGATGTTAATGGTTTGTTTGATTGTTTAGGTTTCCCTCCAGATGGTGGCCCTTTTTTTGAATCTTTGGAACTGTGACCATTTGGTTTTGGTTTTGCTTTAGGTTTCTTGCTGGACCCAGGGCAAATAATATCTTTAAGGTCAAGTTTGAGTTGGGAGATTGCTTTCCCATTCCTTGGAAATATCACTGTGGTGTAGAAGCCAACAGCAAGGACAGGCAGCCATAGATCAAAGTACTTCCCCTTTTCTTTGCCACCATGGGTGAGTGCCATTTTTGATAAAGTCCGTCCTGTAACATTCTCTTTGAAAGTGGCGACAAAATCCTGGAGGACTTTGTAATGGGAGGCCAGCAGATCCACTTCCTGAACTTGAAGATCTTGGCCAAGTTGGTCCACAAGTGTTGCAAACTGCTTAGGGGACGACTTCTGATCCTGAAGCATCTTTGATAGCTCTTGATCCAAGATATGATCGTCAGTTCCAACAGATTTGGATAGTACCAAAATCAAATTAATTGCCCTGTTGCGGTATTGATCAATAGAGTGGCAATCTTCTGTCATTTGAATACCAAATTTGAATGATGTTCTAAATGGAATACTTGTCCTGGTGTTGATGCAATCAAGGGCATACCGCAAACAGTGGTAGATTGTGGAACTACTGATCAGCATGTCCCAAGCATCCCTAGACAATGTTGCAATTGATTTTGGCTGTGGTGAGGGGGAATCAGAAAGCACATTTGTCACAACACGAAGACGCTCTTCTGACAAAGCCAGGTTATATTGTTGCATTTTCCCAATGTGAGGTTCAAGATCCTGTTTGTTAACTGGTTCCAGAGAGAAACCACAGAAAGTTTTTCCACTCTTTTTTATAAAGTATCCATTCAGCTTGTTGTTGAACAGTTCGTGTGGTGGGACACCAAATGAATTGCTGAAAAAGAAAATGTATACTGCAGTGGATCGGTTGTGGCTTTTTGTTTCCCTTGCAAAAGTGAGGCCTGTAGATGCAATCAGGGAGGCCAACAGCTCCTCTGGGGTCGCCTCTTGGAATAGCTGTAGCTTGGGCTGGAGAATATCATATTCCCTGCAAAGGTCAACACTCTCCGGTTTCTTTCTTTTAGGTTCTTCCATGGTGCTGGTCCTCTTCTTTTTCACAGATAAGGATGCTGCATGCCCCTTGTTGTACTTTCTTTTGTTGGCTTGGGGACCTTTCTTCAAGCAAGGTTTGGTGTGTGACCGTGAAGAATGGACTGTCTTCATGGTGGTGCTGAAGTGTTTGATGATGTGCGTGTGAATTGTTGCTTCTGTGTTTTTGGATGTTGTGTAATGAAGGGCTTCTATTTAAAAATATAATTAACAGAACATGTTTTTGGCGAGAAGGTAATATTCTTTTATGTTAAATAGATATTCTACCTTATATGCGTTTCATTGGAAGTTTCCTGTTGGAGGATCACCCCAAAGCAAGTGGTCTTTGGACAGTTTTACGTAAAAACATGGATCTTGCACTTACTTTGGTGACATCCTGGAGAAAAGTAACCCGGATGGCAACCAAAAAAAAAATTCAAAGAGTCTGGACAGAGATGAAGGCGCTGAGGCTGTAACAAAATTGGAAACAGAGCAAAGAAATTGTTTAAGAACTCTTAAAATATTGGTTGGGGTTATGAAGGCAGCAACAAAGGAGGAGCAGCACATGCCAAGAAACAATGGAAAACGGATGTGCTGGCGACCGCAAGGCCATCAGAAACCTCTGTTTGCAGGAGCAAAGATAACATTAGGCAGAGCAGTAAAAACAGGCAGCTGTAAACACCATAATCACTTTAGCATTAGCCTTATTTCTATGTTGCCCTCAGTGGTGTTCTAGCATGAATAGTCAGTGGGTGGATGGATGATTATTGAACTCTTTTGAGTTGTGATTGAAATGTGATTTTTCGGCGGAGTTGTTTTGTTGGGCTCAAAAGCAAAATTCGCATTTTGCTCAATTCGCCGAATACACATTTATGGGGAAGATTATTTCTTGGTCTTCTTTGTTTTCTCCAATGACGTGGATCTTTTTTTGGTTCAGATGAATCAATAATTTTTTTAAATCAGATGAATCATTTGTTTATTTTCGATCAAATGGAGCAAAAATTGCCGATCCACTTAGTCGTTTGATTATTGGTCCACCTAATCAAATTTCAAGTTGAGATTTTGAGAAAAACGGCGCAGTAGAACAAAGAACGAACAAAGAACGAAGATTGCACGCGACAGGATTATTTTAGGTAGGTGTGGTAGACAAGCTACACAGTCGAGCAATGACCAGATGCCTGGTACTTTCTTTGGTAGGAAACCTACACATTTCCAACTACCCATCAGTAGGTAGAGGTGGTACTGGGACCCAGAATACCAAGGGACAAGCATTTTGGAGGGAGCTGGACTTTTTTCATAATTTCAGTCCTCAAATACCATGGTACGGAATTCTCCAAACAATTCCAATGAAGAAGACAATGTTCCACATCAAGGGCCAAGGCCAGTGGTAAGACGTTTACCTTTTCGTGATCAGACTTGCAACTATGTCAAGTGGAATATAACCCTAAGGAGAGCTGTTTGCACAATATTGTTTCGTTATCAACTGTTCATTATGTGTATGAGCGAGTTGGTTGTGAATGGACCCATTTATATTCATGTAATAAAGGAACTAGCTCTGGATGCAAGTCAATGAGAATTAATGGCATGGTGGCAGTCCCATGGAAGAAAGGAGTACCGAAAGGCATTGAACCAAAAGAGACAGACACTGAGCAACACTTTGAAAAATTTGGTGATTGGTGAGTACAGGGCGTGGATGATTCCATCCTGTTTTCTAACTTGTACTACACGGCCCTGACCCTATCTATCTATTTCTCTATCAGAGATGTTCATGGACCCAGGCAGTGTGGATCCTCCAAGACCCCAGGAGCTGTATTCCCAAGACCGAGTTACTGGTAAGATTACAGGGCTACGACAAAATAGAGTGATCTACATTAAATTCTTGAGGAATTTTGGAAAAGCTATTTATGGTAAAGCATTTAAAGAGGAGTGTGTGGTAAAAACATTATCCAGTTTCTTTCCAGAATGTCTAGAGGCATTTATGGTGCTTGCTTATGACAATGGATATAAAGTATGGAAGAGCATAGCGGAGAAAAAAATGGAAGGGAAAGGTGGTCCCACTGCTTCTGCTGGAGCTTCCGAGGAGGCTAGTACTACATCAAGCGTGGGGGAGCAAGAAGATAATGATACCACATTCATTGGCTTCAAATACACAAGCAACTCAAGAGGTTCAAAAAGGTCGGAAGGGTGGAGCCAAGCTGGTTGCGATCTGTATGATCAGTTGTGGGATACCTTGGAGGAGCAGCGTAGGAACCCAACACTGGGGGAAGAGTTTGAGACGGCATTCCTAATTAGTGGAGATGAGGTGATTCAAACAACAAGGAGAGCTCGGAATCGCCCATTGAGAAATAACTGGTCGGATCTTGCAGGCTCCCATGGCAATACAACGCCAATAGTTCAAGAGAGGGGAGAAGTGGTGACACCCCAAGCAATGCAACAGGTCCAAATTTAAATTCCAAATAGTACAGCATAGTTTTGAAAATATCGTATGCTATTTCAATTGAGTTTTGAAGTTCCAAATACAATCTATAGGTTGGTAGCTAAAATGTTTTTTGGGTATGGTGATTGAGACTTAATTTTCAGGCTTGAATCCACGCAGAAAGTGTCACATGCAAAAGCGAAATGTAATTTTCACAATGGAAACTATGGTAAATGTACAAGCATATGCAAATAATTCAATCAACATACTTTCTTGTTTTCCAAACTATTTCCAACATTTTGGGTCTAGATATAAAGACAACAATTAATTTTGGGAGAATTGGAATTGAAAAGAGAATATAACGGCATTTAAATTGCCAATATTTTCCTGAAAGAAATGTTTAACCATAAATACCAAAACTATGTCTTGTTTTTTCAGGGCAAAACAAGGAGAAAAGGCTGTAAAACAATGCAATTATAATTTGGAATAATGTTTCAAGATAAACACTGTAATTTATGTCAAATGCTTTGGAAATTCGAACTCAAAATAAGCTTCGGCATTTTATTCTTCCTTTAGCCTATAATGCAAGTCTAGCAATTGTTTGCAGTCCAAAGAAAGGGTAGGGGTCCAGCATTTACAGCCAAAATTTGGGACAATTTAAAGTAGAAATATTAGGGTCCCTGATGTGCTAGCGAGGATTTCTACTCTTTCGATGTTGGTGACGCGGATGAGGGCAAATGTACTTGCTTGTATGACGGTGGTTCCTTGGAATGGGATTTGCAGGAGACCACCGGGCGCAAACCACCTGGATTCAATTATTGCGCAAACAGCTCCTCCGCAGTACTAGACCCCGTTTACGATTTCAGTGCAAAGGAAGGAACCTTTTGCTACAGGGAACAAGGTAAGTGGCTACTGATATCACTTCTGTCTTCATGCAGCAAGTCTAGAAATTCCTTACATCAATGATTGAAAACTCATCAACCAACAAACAATCTCGATCCGGTACTGCAGCCATCGTCTCCAGACCACCACCCATCCCCGAGGTCACTGGTGTGGATCCAGCCTCACCGTAAGCATTCCTGTTTGTTTTTCCCATTCACAAAGAATGCCATGCATTATCTATTATTTCGATCTTACCCCAAGTTCGTTCGTCCTTTGCAATGATCATTCATCAGCAGTCCGCAGCAGCACTTGGAAGAACAACGGGCACTTCGAGGAATTCCAGCACCGCGGACGACAGCAGTGTAACGTAATATCTTATTGTCATCCTTTTTCTGGAGTTACGTCAAGATCGCAGCGGTGATGATATATCCTCCTTGAAGTCAAAGGATTGATGATCGATTGCCTAGAGTAGCCTATAGTAGTAAGCAGAAAAAAATGGTTCTGTTTTCTCATGCTGTTCAAGGGCACATAATACCTATCATAGTACCTATGCAAATGCAAATGGTGTAACGAAAACAATGGAAGTCAACCCTAACATTTTCTTGTCTAGTTTGATATTCATGTTCCCCACACTTGATGTCCGCTGGATAATGCTTTGTTTGGACATACTGTGCTGCTCTGTTTCAAATACTAGTAGTACTATACTAGGCAGGGCGGGAGGAGGACATCATGCTTGGCCTCTTGTTGCTTCCCGTACTAAGATCTAGTACATTCACAGTCATATCATATAAATTGGAGCTGACGGTTCTTTTAGTTTGACTTCAAGCGTTTTGGCTTCAGCTTCCAACTTCTGACTACAGATAGTGACTCTTATGTCGTACATAGTCTAATACCTCTTCACGTTACAGTAGTACTATAATATTTGCACTTAATTTGTGAAAATTCGTGATTTATTTCATGTGTCTGTCCTTCCACTCCAATTTTGTCCACTAAACGTCGGAGGTGGGAGCCTGCCATGCATTGAGGGTGAGGAAACAGCGAGGCTGGCGTTAGGTCTGCGGGCATTTTGTTTGCATCCCTATTCGGCTGGAATCAATCAAACAGTCAACAATAGTGAAAGGTGAAACGTTTTCGGGTAATCATCATTGATGTGACACAATAGTTTTGGGAATTATGTTGCTGAAGGAGAGTGCTATACGACAAAAAAAGCAAACTGCGAGATCTTATTTTCACCATGTCACTAATCTATCTATTCGTGCGATCTCTATCCACAGTTTATATAGTTGTTGAGATATTGGGGAGAAAACAAACATCGTGTTGCTTCATTTCTTTGTTTTCTGTATTGCCGAATGCAAAAACTTATCCACAGCACCCTTTTCAAAATGCTTCAAGGCAAATGTTCGACCGTTCTTTGCAATTGCCTCGCACTCGGAGTCATGCTCTTTTGCCCACTCTATTTTTTCAAATAAGTCGCTGAGGTCATATTTCACTGGAACAAAATGCACCCATTCTTCAAGTTCGTCTTCGAACCATTCTCTTGCTATTGTATCCTGCCTGAGTACACATGAATTACTCAGCAGCGCCGGCTTCAGTGCCCCAGCATACGAGTTCCCAGACACAGTGACAAGGTACTTGTATTTCAAAATTTCTTTCCATTCAATTTTGCTGAACGAAGCATCTAGTAGGCCTTGTGCCTCGCTGCGAGTTGCCCACTGTACAATTCGCCGCCTAGGTGTCTCAACGCCCGGCTTGTACGGTACAGGTAGGTGGTACTCTTGAGATAACCAAGCAGCATGCTCATGGTGTCCGTGGGGGGCACCATGCCAAACCGCCTTGTCCATTTTCCTGGTCCAATTGAACGGATCTTGAAATGCCAAGGCATTGTCCAAGTCCTCTTCCCGTTGGTTTGGATGTATAGGCAAAGGAAGGGAGCAGTTGCAACACGGATTGTTAGCTATACCAATCATGGTCAAATTTGTGTAGCAGCAGGCTACTTTGTTCAGGTAGTCACAGCTTAGGTGTTTGTAATAGCCTTCCGTGGCTGGAAAATCGACCGCGTCGAAATCAAAGAATAATGATGATCGACCTTCCTGAAATTCACCATAGGCCTCAACTGCACTTCGTAGACGCGTTTTAAGACAATCAAGGAACTCGTGATGAACAAAACCCTTTTCTGGACTGTTGATGATGGAAAAATTGCCATTGGGGTGTACCTCGATAATGCCAATGTGTGGTCGCTTGGTGAGATTTCCGAGCTGATAGCGTCTAGTTTCCAGACGAATTTGATTTGTGCTCTTGATTTCAGCATGGTTTACTGCATCAAGGACACGCTGACTTTGACCTGATTTGAAACTGACGGCAAAACACAAGACTACCACAAGGCCCAATGATTTTTTAAACAACTCGCTCGTTTTACTGGTAGCTTGGCTGTCCCTATTAACAGGATCAGCGTCGAGTAGATCCTCCATGCTGCCTTAGCAGGATTTGGACGATCTTATTTGCACCAGAGTTCTGCTGTCTTGACTCTTTTTTCATCGCTATGGATTACTGCAATAGTCGGCTGAAAATTGCTCGCAGCCTATATGGTGACAGGATATATAATACGAGCTCTTAGCTGTTTTGGTCGAGCTCCAACGACCGACCGACTGACTTCAGACTCTCTTACTGACTGCGACTCCCTCCCTTTCTCTCACTACCTTCAAATACCCCGACAAGGAGTTCAGGAAACAGCGTTGTTGCCAACTATATAGTAGTAGTAGTAGTAGTAGTAGTAGGAGGAGGAGGAGGAGGAGGAGGAGGAGGAGGAGGAGGAGGAGGAGGAGCAGCAGGAGCATCAGGAGCATCAGGAGCATCAGGAGCATCAGGAGCATCAGGAGCAGCAGGAGCAGCAGGAGCAGCAGGAGCAGCAGGAGCAGCAGGAGCATCAGGAGCATCAGGAGCAGCAGGAGCATCAGGAGCATCAGGAGCAGCGGGAGCAGCAGGAGCAGCAGGAGCAGCAGTAGTAGGAAGAAGAAGAAGACAGCATCGACGATAAGCTAAGCGTCACTACCACATCAACTTTGAACACCTTGGACCAAAGAGACTTTTTTAAAATATATATTAGAAACATACTGTTTGAACTGTTAGGACTATACTCCGTGCTATAATACTGGTACGTGTACTGCACTGGACAGTGATGAGGCACAGTCCACGTTGCGCGATTTGGAGAAGGGACCCGGATACTCTTACAGCACCTCGCTATGACAATGATGCGATGCGGTCATCATTGGAAAAATATTGAGCAATATTGTTAATATATTACTGCCTCAACCAAACCCAATCCAACCCAACAACCACAACAACAACCACAACAACAACCACAACAACAACCACAACAACAACCACAACAACAACAATAGATACACGCACACGCACACACACACACACACACGCACACAAACACACACACAATAAGGATGCAAGCACATTCACATCAGAATAAAACCATACCGGTACAGTCCACACGACGACGAGATCGATTATCGATGCAATCATCCAGAGCCTGCAATACTGCTTATGCTACTGCTCATGCTACTACTCTAAAAACGAAACAATTCTTATTGGTGATTTTCTTTGTGGGCATTGCCATCTTTTTGATCAATTCGGGAGATCCTTCCTACGAATTGCCGTCGTCAGTCGCGTTAATGGGGAATTTGCACGGCAATGACGAAGGAGGAATAATAACAGCAGCAGCAGCAGCAGCAGCAGCAGGAATAACGGAACAAACCTACTGTGCGGTGGGCATTTGGAACGAACAGACGCATGACTTGGACGAAAATCCCAACTGTACGGCTTCCTCCAAGTTGTTGCACATGGAACGACCCGAAACCCAAAAGAGATTAACCTATATGCTGTTGTATTACAACAATCACAAACAACTGGCGCATCAGGTTCAGGCGTGGAGGAATTTCTCACAGGCTGCTTTGGATCAAATTCAATTTGTCATTGTGGACGATGGAAGTACCTTGGGACATGCGGCCGCCGATTTGTTTGCGGTCAATCGCGAATTTATAGAAGGATTGGATGTTGTGGTGTACAAAATTGATCAAGACTTGGCCTGGAACATTGGCGGGGCCCGAAATTTGGGATTTTACATGGCCAATACCGAATGGATCTTTATGAACGATGCCGACATTGAAGTCAAGTCGGACACTATGGATTTTGTGACCAATTTGCTGGACTACAAACCGCAGCAGAATGGAACTACGGTTCAAGAACCAGTATATTTGTACTTTAAGCGATGGCGAGAAGCTGGTTTCAAGAATCATCCAGCCGTCATGCTGATCAAGAGAGCACACTACTGGATGTTGGGAGGTTGCGATGAAGACTTTGTCGGACATTATGGACAAACGGATCCTCACTTTCGATTAAAGGTCAAACTGGATAAAACCTTGCATGGCTACACGACAGAAGATTTGATGAATGAGCAAAAGGTCTCCCCACTCTACGAAATGCCCGACAGTCTTCCATGTCCATCCGGCATGCATTGCTTGGAACCTTTCGTGGGTCAATCACCATCCAGAGATACCAAACCAAATAAAGATCTGATCAAGAAGAAACGAAAGATAGGAAAGTGGTCCAATCAAGTCTTGAGGTTTACATGGAAGCGGAGTACCTGGGAATCAAGTTGGTGGCAAAACATTCTGAGTTGGTTTTAAAATAGGTACTATAATACCTATACCTATACAAGTACTTTGTGGTGTGTTAGATATCTTGATAATAATATTGAAATGGCATGTTATAAAATGAGTGTGACTATTATAATCTCTTAAGAGGCTAGCTAGGACCTACCGGTATGGTGTAGGACAACACAGGATCACATAAAATATACGGCAGTCGTCGATGTAAGACATGATACCGGTATTTCTAGAATACAGTACCTCGTGGGGTTTCAGTCCTGAGGGCATATATGATGTGTTTCAGTCACGGAAGGCTGTCTAATTAGAATTCGTTTGTATTTAATGGGAACAAATAGCTCGCTTCGTCCCTCATTGTAGAGAAAAAAGAACAAGCGCGCATGTCCAAGTTGATAAACAATGAACCGTCTTCAGATAGTTCTCGATTAAAGGATTCTGTCACAATTGATCGTAAATGTCATGCCAGATTTGTCAAACGGCAAAATGATGGACAAAAAATGGAAGCAAGCCGCTTCTCATGTTTCTTTTGGTACGAATAATAGTCCCGGTTATTTTACAATCATCATCATCAGCATCATCATCAATATCGGCATCACCTATCATTATAGCTTTCATCGGCGCTAATACAAAGCAAAATAGGAATTGTTATTGGGAAACAGAGAACAAATTTCAATTCGAACACTGCCTTTTCGCTCATTGATACGACAGTATAACCGGGATTGTATTTTGTCTGGCCTACAAAATACGTTATAATATTCCTTTTATCAATCATAGGTGACTCTGACTGGATACACAACAACCACAACCACATTCACAACAATCACAACAGCATTCAACAGATATATCTTTATATATGTATGGCAGAAGAAGAATAGGACACTACATATATATACATATATATACATACATACCACCACCATGCAGTCCATCATTGCTCAAAACGAAAATCCAACCTTTGTCACCCACAACTTGAACAAAAATCTAATGGCAGTTTGGTCATGGGATGACGGTGACGATGATATGGCGCTCAACAACAACAACAACAACAGCAGCAGCAGCAGCAGCAGCAGCACAAGCTCTCATGGCAGTAGTAGTAGTAGCATTGGAAGGAGTTCCAAGTGGACCAGCTTTGAGAAACTGTCATCATCAGATAATGATAATAATGACAATGATGAGAACGATGAGAACGATGATAACGATGCCGAGAACGATGATGTGAAACAGTGGGAATTCTATCACTGTTTAGTCCAGCAAGAAGCAGTACCGCAACATCAGGAAGAAAAGAAGGACGAAGCTGAGGAGGAGGAGGAGGAGGAGGAGCATAAAAGCAATAAGACGAGCAAAACTATTTTACCAAACATGTTTGGCAAGGACAGTCGGATCAAGAGTATGATAGTCGATAATGTGGAGCATTTGAATCCTATTCATATGTTTGGTCATCACAAGCGGTCCTCATCCCTTAATGACGCCGCCTTCTTTGCACCAGAAGCCAGAAAAGACTTTGTCGGACAAGCTGTGGAGGACGCCATATCAAAAGCCAAAAAGACGTTTACGCTCAAACATCATAACAATTCAAAGAAAGACAATACTAATAATGCATCGGAAGACGAGACGGATACGAAAAAGAAAACAAGCCTAATACAGCCACCACAGTCACCGGGTGGTGGTGACATCAATGCCTTCAAGGATCAATATTCAAGTGTCATGGACATCGCATTTACAAATCCCATTGCCATGGCAAAATTAAAGGCCTTCAAAACTCGAAATACGCCGCAAACGCCCCGGAAAACCTTGAAAGATGTGGCGGATATTCCAGCCATACCCGAAGATGCGCTCTCTCCGGAAGTCACCCGACAATCGCTGGGCAAATTCCTCGGCGAAACAAACAATACCACCGCTAGTACTGACACACCCTCGAAACGAAAAAGCAAATCCCGCAAAAGCAAATTGCAAAAAGCGCTGTCCACATCGCATCTCTTGCACGAACACGACGACAACGACGATCTTTCGGAGGACGATCGATCTGTAGCGACGACCAGGTCACATACCAGAAGCAGGAAAAAGTCCAAGGAGGCGAAACGAAGACGGAGCAACAGTGTTGGAGCAACCGAAAATCATGATGATAATGACAATGACAATAGTGATGGTAATGGTAATGGTAATGGTAATGGATTATTATCATCCGTCAAATCCAAAAAGAAAAAAAACAAGGAGGAAAAACGGAGTCGAAGTAGTAGCAGTGCTGGAAGATTGAACAAACGAAGATCCAAACAGCTGAAAAAAACCATGTCGTCCATGAATGTCGACGGGGAGCGACGATCGGACGACGAAGATGATGAGCTATCCGTCACCAGTGCCAGCAAGAGTCCGCGTACCAAACGGAAAAGTCGACGAGTGCCCAAGCTAAGGAAACAAAGATCGGAGGCGGATGTAGGTGGCGGCACGGGGTCGCAACGAAGATCCAAAAAGAAGGATGCCACTAGCAAATTGGAAGTCTTGAACAGCCGTATGAAGAAAACGATTGGGTTGGAAGCGACGCCCGACAGTCCAACTAGCTCCAAGAGTGGGAGTAGAAAAAGTGGGACACTGGAAGAACGGCGTGCCCGTAAACGCATGTCGCAGCAAAAGCTCAAGGGGGCCTTTGACAAGATTGTGGTGGACAGTGCCAATGTCGGCGAAACGATGGGAAAAGGCGTAAAGCTTGGTATGGATGCCACCAAAACGGCAGGCAAAACCGTTGGCAAAGGAGCCATGGGGACTACCAAAGGAGCGATCGATGCTACCAAGACTGTCGGAAAAGGTGCTGTTGACGCAACAAAGACAGTCGGTAAGGGGGCTATAGATGCCACAAAAACTGTTGGTAAAGGTGCAATGGATGTAACCAAGACGGTAGGCAAAGGAGCTCTAGACGTTACCAAGGGAGTGGGCAAAGCCATTGGTGTTAGTAAGAGTGCAACTCCTCCTCCTGTGACGCGAACAGAGTGAAGGATTCAGGATGATTCAAAAGTTGAATTATTGGAGCAATTGTAACTTGTGATGTGTATATAGTAGTAGTAGACTGTAGTAATAGTGCCAGCATCAGAACTAGTTTGGAAAATAACAGTAGACGCAGTAGTCTAGTGCAATGGTAGAATAGGGCATCCTCAAGAGGAGAAATAGAGAACAATACAGTGATTCAATGATTTCGTGAAATGATGCACAAGTTTTGAGTTTTGTGTTGGTTTCAGAAGGGTTAATTTGCTGAAGCCCCAACTCTGATATCTTCATGTTCGTGTTTCGTTCTACTTCTGGCATTAGGATCTCAACCTGAAGCGAAGAGCAGAACACCATGCTACGTTGGCTTTATTGTAAACCAAGATTAGATTTACTTAACAGGACTACATAGGTGAGGGAGTAGCAGCCATTTTGCGTTACGCAAAGCGAGACACAAAATGAAAAGGAATGTTAGTTCATCTATGCGATATAGTGTGCAATCTACCTATGCAATAGGAGAGTTCTTGACACCAGAAGTACAAACACCAGCACTGGTTGAGAGTGGCTTCCCTTGGTAGGTGGCAACACCCGAATCATCGGTAGCCAAGTCGGGGAAGATGGCATCCAACATCTTTTTCTTGATGACTTGATTCTCGGTTGCTGGTTCTCCATCAAAGCCTTCCACCATGACTCGCTCTCCAATTTCGGCACCTTCTGGTGGCTCTACAAACTCGACTTTGCCATCTTCGGAAGATGCGCATAGCACCATTCCATGCGAAGGGAATCCCACCAGCTTGCGACTCTTCAAGTTGGCCAATACAAGGACCTTGCGTCCTTCCATTTCCTCCAAGGAGTAGTGTGCCTTTAATCCAGAAGCTATTTGGCGAGGACCGCCTTCTTCACCCAGATCTATTTCTTCACAGTACAACTTGTCAGCCTCCTCGTGTTCCCAAACCTTTTTGATAACGCCGACACGAATATCCAACTTGGAAATGTCAACAGGACCAGCTGGTGCCGGAGCCGATTTCTTCGTCTTCTTTTCGCTCTTTTCTGCCGCTGGCTCTTCTCTGGGTGGGTACTTGGCAGTTTTGAGGTCTTCGTATTCTTCGATGATTTCCAGTGGAAGTTGATCAGTTCGCAAATCCTCTTCTTTCTCAGGTTTCTCTCCTCGCAAGAAGGATTCCATGCCTGTGAAGGAGATTAGACAGTGAGTCAGTCAGTTTGATTCAATCAGAAATGGCAAGCGAACGAGCGCAAACAAGCGTTTGACATTATAATAGAATGACCCCAAACCATTCGCAAAAGTTTCAACACGTATACTCTATCTCTCTCTCTTACCATCATCGTAAAAGTATGGGAATTGTTCGATGAATCGAACATCCGACTTGACAAACTCTCGCAAATCCTTAATGTCATGAATAATCATGGCAAAACGTTCCACACCAAATCCAGCGGCAAAACCAGTGTATTCCTCAGGATCAATACCAGCCTTTTCCAATACGCGGGGATCCACCATCCCGCATCCCAAAACTTCCATCCATCTACCGCGGAAAAAGACATCCACTTCCATGCTAGGTTCTGTGAAAGGAAAGAATGATCCTCGAAATCGGGTCTTGATGGCAGGTCCTAACATTTCCTTCAAAAAGTGCTCGACGGTTCCTTTGAGATGTCCCAGATCCAATTCACCTGATTTCTCCAAAGCCAAGATCTCGACTTGATGGAACATGAGAGAGTGGGTGGCATCAATGTCATCACGTCGGTAGACACGTCCAGGGGCAACAATACGTAGAGGTGGCTTTCTCTTTTCCAATTGACGAATTTGAACGGCCGAGGTGTGCGTGCGAAGCATCAGTTCACGATCCTCCGTCAAGTAAAAGGTATCTTGCATGTCACGGGCGGGGTGATCCTTTGGACAGTTTAGAGCCTCGAAACAGTAATAGTCAGTTTCAATTTCAGGACTTTCCTCACAACTGGTAACTGTATCGTAACCAATTGAAGTGAAAATATCAATGGCCTTTTCCATGGTCATACTCAGTGGATGCCTACGGCCAACGTTGCCATAGGGATCGATACCAGGCAAAGTGACATCGATTGCTTCCGCCTTCATTTGTTCTTCAATATCCGCAAATTCAAGACGTTCCTTAGCTTCTACCATGAGGGTATCCATATTGGCCTTGACCGCGTTGACGACAGCACCGAGTTTGGGCTTCTCTTCGTTTGGCAACGATCGCATGTACACCATACTCTTGTTGACGGGTCCCTTCTTGCTGAGATATTCTCTTCTCAAGTCTTCAGCAGCCGCCAGACTTTCACACGCTTCCAGTTTGCTGGTGAAGTCTGCTTGGACTTGTTCGAGTTCCGCTTGAATGTCTGCAATGGAAACCTCTTCGGTAGAAGACATGAACAGTGGCTGATGATGTTGATGGCTTCTTCGTTGATAACAATCATTATGTTGCTTTGTTGTTGTTGTTGTTGTTGAGGCGAAATTGGATCGCAGTGGAGTGGATTGAAAGGCAAAGGCGGCGCCAGATTGCAATGAAGTGGTGCACGCCACGAGAACAATAGTTGGTAGAAATCTCATCTGTCTTTTTTTCCAATCAAATCAAATCAAATCAAATTTAAAATCAAGTGTTTTGACGTTGTTTCTCGGCTCTATTATGGATTGAACAATTCCTTTATCGACTATGGGCAAAGGTACTTGTCAAACTGATTGAAGCGATAGTGCCAATGAGAAGGTTAGGATGCGACGAAAGGTGATGGAAAAACAGGTCATCGCCGCATCCATACCATGCATCAGCCATCACCGCGCACGATCGTCAGGAAATCTTGGCATTTTCACGGACCAATGGACAGACTTAAACTGACGTAAGTGATCCAGTCAGTCGGTCATTCGTAAAAACTATTTGACTCCTCTGACCAAACGCAAGGTGAGATCCGAACACCAAAATCACGAATCGTATATATAATATATCCACAAGAGTTCTGATGTTGATGCAAAAGAATGCCAGAAGAGAACACTTCTGTCTTCAGGTGTTGTCAACCAGAGTCTCACAAAAGCAAAAGAAAGAATAAGAAGACAAACAAACATACAGCCGACAAGCAAACAAACAAACTCCCAATCAATCAATACTATGGATAAGCTCAACTTTCAACACACCAAGGCCGTCAACCTTGCTCGTCGATTCAGTGAACAAAACGAAAACGATCTTTTGATGGTGCGTTCTCATACTTGAATGTTTGATCACAAGACGTCAAATCATCTTCATATGGATGTATAATGAGTGGTCCCACTTTCCGAAGCGCCATTGAGGATTGCAGGACTACTACTATTTGATGATTTCCGCCCGTCGTTGTCGTGTCAGTATATATACTGGCGTCACCACCCGCCGAGTAAAAGGAAACCACCTCCGACTTATTTTGGATTCAACGACTCACAAAACCTTTTTTTTTCACCTGTGTTGTTGCCGACCCATACCACATGTTGGATCATGTTGCGACCCGACAGGAAGACTATATGCGTAAGTTTGTTTGGTGCTGCTGGCTGGCTGGAGTACCTGTATGATCGATCACACTCGCCATTGTTCTCACCATTCTTTGATCTCAACACTCGACTCTACATTATCGCTCACAATACAGGTCCCACTGAAATGTTGCTCCATTCCGAACCTTCCAAGAAGCTTGATCACGTCATGTGCCAACAATTGAGTACCCATCTGGTCCATTTGAACGGTTTGCCCAAGGAATGCCTAAAATTTCCAGACGTGGTCTCCGATTTGAAGCGTCGCGATAGTGATACAACTCATCCTACTCAATGGATGTCTTAAAAGTGAGAAGATATAATGTCATGCCTTAGTGAAATAAGGTCATGGCATGGAACGAGTGAATCAATCAATCAATCAATCAATCAATCAATCAATCAATCAATCAATCAATCGAATCCCACCAACGAGAAAACGAAGAAAAATAAAAAGAGTTGGTCGACAAGCCAACATACATATATACCTTTAGGTTAGGAAGATATTATAATACTTTAGAAGATTTAGATTATTACATTTTACAGATGGCATATTATTATATTATTTGAAGTCTGACATGGTCAAGATATAGTACTGCGGTATATAAGCTAGTACCTTTCAAGTTGAAAGTACTGTACCATCGTCTCAGCTACAACAGTGACAGCAAATGCCCGCAAAAAGAATGCGTAATCTTTACAATTAATAAAACCTTCGAACGCATGCCTTGAAGTAGAATGAAGATGCTTGCCTATGCTTTTGTTGGTTGGCCAGCCTTTTACTCACAGCAGACCACTCGATCGTTTGAGCAGACCTACCGGTACCTATAGACTCCACGTGGAATATGCGTGCTGACACCTTTTATTATAAAATATTATCGCATGTATATATCTAGAGTGCCCGTCATTTTCTCTGTTGTCAACAAGGCAACCCTTTTATGTACTACTTCTTCACACTTACAATAAACCATATACAGTAGAACATGTCAACACAGTCACCACCAACATCAGCGTCCCAGCGATCGTCCTCCGTGGAATCGTTCAAAGTGATGGACGTTTTGAAACGAGCCAACGAATTGCAAGCGCAAGGACACAAGGTCTGGCATTTGGAAGTGGGACAACCCGAATCAGGGGCACCTGCTCTAGTGGCAAGCGCTGCCCAAGCCGCACTTGCTGGCGAACAAACCATGGGATACACGGATGCCTTTGGACTGTTGGCACTCCGACAAAAGATTGCCGACTTTTACTTGACGAAATACGGGGCAAACAACATCAAGATTGAAAATATTGTCATTACGACGGGTTCCAGCGGAGCCTTTCTTTTGGCATTTACTGGCTGTTTTGATGCTGGTGATACTGTCGCTATTGCATCCAGTGGGTATCCATGTTATCGCAACATTCTTCAGGCACTCGGTTGCAATCTTGCGAGTGTGGAAATCAACTCGGAATTCAAGTTGACGGCCAAGGAATTGAAGCAAGCCATTGACACACGAAAGGAGAAAGGTCAGCCTCCTCTCAAGGGGTTGATATTGAGTAGTCCATCCAATCCAACAGGAGCTATGCTATCACCAGAGGAATTGAAGGATCTGTGTCAATTATGTGATGAGGAGGGTATTCATTTTCTATCGGATGAGATCTACCATGGTATCAGCTATGGAATGCCTGAAGCAACCGCCATTACCTATTCTTCCAATGCGTTCGTCATTAACAGCTTTTCCAAGTACTATTCAAGTGAGTAATTGTATGATGCTTTTACTGTTGGCATTATTATTTCGTCTCGCTTGTAACTCATCGCTTTTCTCCGTTATATATATATATATATATATATATATATATATATATTATAGTGTCCGGATGGCGACTGGGTTGGATGGTGATTCCTGACCACATGATTGATCCTATTAATACACTTCAGCAGAATATGTTTATCAATGCACCCACCATTTCTCAAACGGCTGCCCTGAAATGCTGGGAATCCGAGACGATTGCAGAATTGGAACAACACGTGCAAAAGTATCAAAAGAGTCGGACCATTATCCTGGATTACTTGCAACAAATTCCAGAGTTTTCGCAAGAGGGAAAGAAGAATGTAGCACCGCCAGATGGTGGATTCTATGTCTATGTGGATCTAGGCGACGAGAATGTGGCTCCTGGCCATGGAAGTGTGGCCATGTGTCAAGCTCTGTTGGAAGAATGTCACGTGGCATTCACACCGGGGACCGACTTTGAAAGTTTGCCACAAATTGGGGATCGACGATTTCGAATCAGTTATGCAGGAGGAGTTGAAACGGCAACGGAAGGGCTAAAGCAATTTGTTGAATTCTGGCCAAAATGGTTGGAACGAGTAAAGAAGGCGCAGTAAGAGCAATAATGAGCTTGTGGAATGGGCCTTGGATATGAGTGTATATTCAGTATTCGGTGCATCATCAATGAAGATTTAGACGCCGGAAAGAGAAAGCAACTCAAGGACAGTTTGTGATATACTCCTGGCAACTGTGGGGAGGCTTTGACGTATCATATTGCTGCCCCATCAAGATGGACTCATGACCATATTCAAAATGCACAAATGGTTCCAATAATACAGCAGTCCGAGAGCATCCCATCACGCATCCAGAATGCTAATAATGTTATAGATCGCACTTTTTTCAACCTCTATCCCATGTCAGAATGAATCAATCAATCAATCATCGGATGCGCCATATTGATAAATGGGAAACAGAGATGTGGTGAACAGGAGTAGTAGTTTCAAAAATGCATAGGACGCGAGATCGACTGCGCGATGATGAGATACATATTATACCATATTGTATTTTATACGCAGTATGCGGTGTTGCGTTGCCAATGACCGGCCCATTGTATAGTTCGTATTCTAGTCATTGCACAGGCAAGGAAACTGTATCCTTCGCAATTGATTGCGACAGCAATGGCATGGCAAAGTCGAGTTGAATTTGAATTGTCCAAATTATTTGTGAATTATTGATTGCATAAACCGCCGACGTTTCAAATAATAGTCATCATATCTTGGCGAATTATATTGTGAATGACTTTTTGATGGGTATTGTCATATATTGAAATGAAAAGGCATGTGAAAAGAGTCATCCAAGAGATTTATACAATGGGATAGACTATCATTTTTGACAAGTCTTGGCATTGCATCATTGTGGGTGCTATCCTTCATCTCATCGTAGTGTCTTTCAAATATTTTGATCGATCCACATATATGAAATCATCATCGTCCATCACTTATTGTTATTATTTGCTCACGATGAGGCGTACCGGTATATTCATGCCATCCGATTGGAAATCACGTATTGTTAGATATAAGGCCACACCTTTGGAGCAATCTACTTGAAAATTGAACATACAAAATGCATTATAATATCTATTTAAAAGAGCTAGACTAACCTAGCTAATCGTTCTCATCGATTGCTTCTAACCATTGGTGATGTGTAGTTTCTAGAAATGATAGCGGCAGCCCCCAATATGCTTATTCTACTCGGCATCCTCGAAGAAGCGAGTAAATATCTTCTGAAAAGCTGTTTCCGGCCAATGTACAATCAACCAATCCTAGTGGCAAGGCAGGAATGAATCCACTCAATTCGTTGCCATCCAATCTCAAAATTTGAAGCTTGGTCAGATCTACAACTTCGGAGGGAATGTTGTTCTGAAAGTTGTTGTTGGCAAGTCCCAAGAAGACCAAATTGGTCATGGCCATGATGCGTCGAGGAATGGATCCACTCATTTGGTTATTGGCTATGAAGAAGAAAATAAGAATGAGTGTCAGTTTGGCATCGAATTGCATTACAATTGTGGCAAACAATAATAATACATGATTGCCCAACATAAGTCCAACTTACAGAGATCAAAGTATTCCATGTTCGAGCACTGGCGGAATTGAGTTGGGAGTTCTCCAAATAATAGATTGTTCGCTGTGAGGATAAGTGCAATTTATGAAGGAGAAAGTTAGACAAAGCTGGCCCCAATGTATAGTGTGAATGCTTGATTGCCATCCATCAAGATAACGTACGCATCAAAAAGCTTCGAAGACTGGTCATTCGAGCAACTTGGGTTGGAATCGTGGCTTCCATCGCATTATTGGACATATCCAACAATCTCAAGTTGGAGAGGTTACCAATACGGTCAGGAATAGACCCAGTGAGCCCCATGCTGTCTGTGAAACAATAAAATTTGATGCGTAATATACAGGTTAGCTGAAGTGCTTTACGAATGACAAGCAAACAAAGAATACAACCGAACGTACTGAGATTTAGGGTTCGAAGGTCAGTCATGAGCCCAATTTCTGTTGGAAGAGATCCAGCAAAAGTGTTCTGCGATAGATCCAAAGCTGTCAGCTTGGTCAATGCCATGAGTTCTCGAGGGAAGGAACCAATCATCAAATTTCCACGCAACTCGACACCGGAAACTCGGTTGTTGGAGGAGTGACAAGAAACTCCAACCCAACTGCAGTGATTGATGGACGCTCCCCAACCATTGCGAATTCCCCATGTTGGTCCCTGACTGGTGTAGTACAGCGTCATCAGGACGTAGCGATCGATCCAAACTCCTGCGTCAGTGCTGGCAGTCAATGTACTAGGCACCCAATAATCGGCATTGAAGAGCCAATCGTAAGCGTCAACATTGGTCAAGGGAATGTTTCTCAAAGACTGCTCAATGTGGCTCCTTCGTGACATGGTGGGAGGAGGAGTTTGAGGAGCAGGAGTTGGTCTGTTTGTTGGCCAACGGGTGGGTATACGGGTGTTGCCTGTTGGAGACAATGTTGGAGATCTTGTGGGAGTCAAGGTAACAGCTCCTGTTGGTTTGCCAGTGGGAGGCAAAGATGGCTCGCTGGTGGGAACATCAGTAGTCTCGGCTGTTGCAAGAACGTTGATTACCTCAACATCTTCAAATGGAGCTGAAAGTTCCAATACGTTGAACAAGTCCTTTCGTCCGAAGATACCGTTGATGTGATTGATGACTCGCAAGTTACTCTCGTACCCCTTCATGTAGAGCTCCAACGCAACCTTCATTCGAAAACAGGCATTGTAGTTTTGGGCACAGTTGCCATTGTCGCTACCAGGAACGGCCTCGACCTTGGCGCTTCCAACAACATAATCTTTAATTAGCCTTCGTCGATCTCTCCCACGTACGCCTTGGGCTGATACCAACAAGTTCTTGGGGCATCCAGCGAGAGTTGGGGCCAAGATCCGTTGCATGGCTTCTGCAACTGTGTCCATCAATGATGAGGCGTCACTGGTGGCAAGATTCAGAGTCACGTCCACATCAAGTCTGAAGGACTTGATAGCCATTTCTTCTTGACCAAAGACACTGTTGCCTTGACTGATTCTCAAGCATTGGTTTGTACTTGGAGGGAAGTGCACCATTGCCGTTGGCTCTTGTGTAGTGAAAGCCGTGGGACTGAGAGTAGAAATCTCAAAGACGGTTCCCTTATCACCATTTCCTGTGATATCGTCCCAGTATGATCCCAAGAGAGGACCGACGATAGCCCAAAAGAAGACGACAGCACAAAAAAGCATAACGTAAAGACGCTTGTTGTTGTCTTGGCCGTCAGAAATATCACTGAGGGTATCTGTATCAACGACCAATGAGTTTGATTGCTTTGTTGATGCTTCCGACCTGCCATATGTTCGCGTTCCATCATCGCTTGGATGGCTTCGGCTCCCTTTACTGAATTCGTCTTTAAAGTAGCTATCTTGTTCCAATTGCGAGACAGAGTCTCCAGTAACCGAGCTGGAAATGTGATCGGGGGACACACTCACAATCTCTACTGCAGGGCGTGGTCGGCGTCGCCTTGCCAGTGCCGAGGCAAGTCTCGAAGTTGTGTTTCTGGCAGGAGCCGCATTTGCTTCCATTAGCACGTGGACACGCTCCAGTTTTTCTCTTGGGCTCAAGGTATCATCCTTGTAGATTGCTTGAACGGCTCTTCCACGCGCATTGGCGGTGCCATTTTGGACAAAGTTTGGTTGGTCGGGTCCAACCAATGCCTGAACTTGCAAGTGCTTCTCTTTCGGACTAAGGGTATTGTCTTGATAAATTGCAGCAATCAAATCTCTCTTTGTCGAAATGTCACTTTCGTTCCGGTCTTCCCGCGGTGCAGCTGCTTTCGATCCAACAATGAAACTCAATTGCGTGGATTGAGCTCCTTCCACACTGATATCTTCTTGCAAGTAGGCTTCGATGAGCGCCGACTTCACTTCAGCTGTGAAAGACGGTTCCCGATTAATGGCCTCAATTGCCTCTAGCTTTGCTGCCGCTTTGGCTGTATCCACAGATTCCGACATTGTTGTTGTTGATATTACTGTTGTGTTGTCTTTTTACGATTTGAAGCGAATCAATCTTTTGGGAAGTTGTGAGCGTTGGAAACGTAGGTCCCACTCTGCGACCACAAAACTGTGTCCGTTGGTGCACCGACGCACGAAAGACACTTAGGATGAAATCCATTTCGCGCACGCGCAGATGTCTAAGCGGCTAAATATAGTATTTTTAGTAATGATTTGCACCGAAGGCAACAATTCAACAATTCGCAAGGAACAACAATAGCCATAGGACTATTGGCTCCGATTGAGATCGAAAAAAAGAGCTTATGCAAGTCGAAACCTGCTTGGCTCATTCCTAGAGTATGAAATGGTATCATTTGTATGAAAACAGTTGTAAAAGTCCAATCCTCTTCGTAATATCAAGGACTTTGTCTTGTTCATGATTTCGAGCACAAGGCGAAGGACATGCTTACTCGAATGCTGCAAAAGTTAAATGACATGAATATTTATTACATTTTAGTTCTACTGTGCTGTCATATCGATCAACATTTTATCAATTGGAAAAACTGACTTGCTTTACCGCTTGCAACTCTGCGACTTCATTCGGAATAGGGCCTTGTAGATTTGTTTCCACAAAGTTCATAGTCCTCAAGCTTGTCAGCTTTCCAATCTCACTTGGAATAGCGCCATTAAGATAATTTGTTGCAAGACTGAGGTCCCGAAGCGGCTTTAGCAGCCCCAACTCTGTGGGAATTCGTCCGTTTAGCTGGTTTCCGTCTGGTAGTGAATGAAGGAGACCTTTACTGTTAGTCAAATGAGAGCAAAACATAACGAAAGCCGTTCAATCACATTTACCTAGATTCAATCCAGTAATAAGATTAGTGTCTCTGTTGACACATGCGATGCCATACCACCCTCGGCAAATTGAGGATCCTCCCAACCAGCCATCTCTTTTTAGCCAGTTATTACCGCCCGTCTCTTGATAGACAACCCGCATGACGTACCGATGGACCCAGACTTCTGAGCTTGCAGCGAGTGGAGCATCTGGCAGCCACCAATCCTCATTCAGGATCCACTCAAGCGCGTTCTGATTCAGTTTGTTCAAATTTCCAATTGTAGCAAGAGCAGGTTTCACCAAGGCTTGTCGCTTTGCTGCTGCATTCCCCTTTCCTCCATCCGGCGTAGGTTGTCCTGGTCCTCCTGGTCCTCCTGGTGTTGGTACACTAGGAGCACCAAGTACTGTTGGCACCGGGGTAGCGGTAATACTTGGAGCAGAAGAAGACGATGGAACTCCCGAAGGAGCCAAGCTTGGTGTAAGTGAAGGAGCTTCAGACCCATCCGTTGGAGAAACGCCACGGAGTCGAATGTCTGTGAAGGGCTCAGCCAAGCCAAGGTTCTCAAGACTTAATCCTGCATTGAAGGCTTCTTGGACACGGTCAAGTAGGGTTTGTGTTTCTTCATCGCCTCCTAGGAATAAAGTGACAAGCGTCGACACCACAATACACTCCTCTCCAGCACCAGGGGTGGTGTTACAGGTACTGGTATCCTCGAGTTTTGAGTTCATATCAACATTTCGGACAACAAACTCGCTTTCATCTCTTTCTTGGAGACTTCGGCGGCCATTGCCACCTCGGAGGCCACTAGGTGCGCCAAAGATACCAATAGACAGAAATGCTTGGTCTTGAATCCGCGATAGTACTTGGGCTTCGGCATCTGGACAAAGCGCAATAGCTGGTCCGAGAATTCTTTGCAAAGCTGCTTCCAATAGCTCAATCAATTCATTGACATCTTGATCTGGGCTCGACGTAAAGTCAACTTCCTTAGTAACTTCAAAGAATACAGGTTCCAAATTATCTTCTCCTGAAATGGGATTTCCTTCACTGATAGCGAAGCACTGGGCATCGTCCGGTGGGTCGTAAAGAAGCGGAAATGCTGTTGGCGAAGGAGTAGCCTGAGCCGATGGCGGAGCGCCAATTGCAGTTGGTGCTTCGGAGGGCGGTACGACAGGAGCAACGCCTTGGAGACCAGGGGTATCATCGCCTCCCCCGGTCAGAAGGACTACCGGCACGACAATGGCGATAATCAAAAGGATGCAAATACAGGCAAGGCAGATTCGGCGGCGTCTTGGATCACCTGCATCAGATCCAGAACCATCGTCACTGCCTTCCTTACTGAGCTGGTTCAGACTCCCACCACTTCCTTGAGAGTTGTAACTTTCATCCAAGGGTTGCTGTTGTATGGGGGTGCCACTCCCACTTCTGCTGCGACTGTCCGAGTAGCTTCGACTGCCGCTTCTTGAATAACTGCCACTTCTGCTTCTGCTGTCGCTGTAGCTTCCAGATCGGGATCGGCTGCCGCTGAAACTTCCGGATCGGGAACGGCTTCCAGATCGACTCCGACTCCCCGAGCCAGAATAGGATCGAGAGCCAGAAGGACTTCTTGAATACGAGCGACTCCCACTTCTGGAATAAGATCGAGAGCGGCTGCCACTGTAACTTCCAGAGCGAGATCTTGAGCCTGAATAGGAACGAGAGCGGCTGCCACTACGACTTCCAGACGGAGACCGAGACCGGGATCTTGCGTCTGCCGCTTCTTTACCCAAAGTGTTGATGGGAACGTCCCCTGACTGAACAGAGGGCATTGGCGCACCTGGTGGCAGTGTGGGTGATTGACCGCTTCTTGAAGAACGAGTTGAGGACCTTGGAGATCTGGATGCCGAGGACTGTTGAGTTTCTTCTTGTCTTTCCATGATATCCCGGATCTTTTGGTGCCGCTGGGCAGCAGTGAGGGTCCTGTCCTTGTAGACCTCTTGAATGAGCTTTCGCTTGGACGTTGATGGGCTTCCATCGTCTTCGACCTCTCGAACTGTCACTGACTTCGCTCCAGGAGTGCCAAGATCCACAACTTCCATTCCTTCCTCCGATTCCTTCTCCTGTTTTTTCTTCTCTAGCTCTTTTTGGTGCTGGTCATTGATTTCTGCAATCTGAGCCAACTTTTGTTGTGGCGTGAGACCAGAGGTATCAAAGACGGACTGGATGGACTTGCGTCGCTGCCTCTCTTGCTCCTTTTCAACCTCGGGGTCTTGAAACTTCTTGAGTTGCTTGAGTTGTTGCTCTTGTTCAAGCATTGCCCTTTCTTTCTTATACGCTTCATCGACTTTGTAAATCTTGTCCAATCGTTCTTGGGGAGTCAACTGGGAATTGCCATACACTGATTGAATGAGCTTTCGCCGTTGTCTATCCTGCTCTGCAAATCTCTTGGTCGTTTCAGCGTCGAATTCGCCTGGCGGCGCGTCCGCCATTGGGACGGCTTCTTGCAGTTGTGACCCTGAGTCCTGTTTCTGAACATCTTTTTCTTTTGGTTTATCAGCCGGGTCACTGAAGTGATTCTCATATGCCTCGTTCAACTCATTGATTTCGCCCAACTTTTCCTGTGGCGTCAAGGATTTGTCAGCATAAATGGATCCAATAGTCTTGCGTCGAATTCTGTCTCCCTTTTGTTGAACAACTTCCTTTTCGTCCTCCTTCATTAGTTGTTGAACCTTTCGATATTTCTCTTCAGCGTTCCAATCAGCATTTCGATAGATGGCCATGATTTCTTTTCGGCGTTGCCTTTCGTCTGTTCTTCTTTTCTCTTCAGAAGCCGAAGTGGAAGCAGAAGACACAGAGGAACCAGATTGTTCAGGACTAGGGCTCCCATTCGAAATTTCATCATCGTAATCAGTTTGAGCTTCTTGTTTGCTGGTTGGATCCGCTTGTCCTGCCCTACTGTACAGAAAACTCATGTTGATCTCGGTATTCCCTTGCTATTCAGCCGAGTGTATGTCACTGGTGGTGCAATGATAACGCAGAGCAAAAGAGGTTTGTTTGTTTGTCTTTGTATCGTAGCCTGCAGCAAGTTGACGAAGAAGGGAAGCCTGGAAGCAACGCATCAATTCATTGAAATCAGTCTTATGCACCATGAATCGTTTGTTTTCGCCCAAAATCGGCGGCTCCGCTGGCGCCTCGACGAAAACGTGTGACTTATTTAGAGACAATTTACAGCCCAACTGCCATTCAGCAAGGCCGGCTCGATGACAACCTTGAAATTTTCCCATGTGACTGACGATGAGCCAATGGGACTATGCAAGATCCAAATTCTAGTCGAGGTAGTCCGGATAGTCACTGGATCTTTTCAATTTCAGGCATTTTGCAACATATAAAAAAAAACACCGCAAAAGCTTAGTCACTCTGATTTGGTCGGCTTCCAAAACACCGCAAAAGCTTTGTCACTCTGATTTGGTCGGCTTCCAAACCTTGAATTCTACTACCGCATACATCCTCATACAACTCACCCATCTATTAGACGAGTAACTGAAGTGTCATATTCAAATCCATACTGCTGTTCAGATAACTGTCACAACCGGATTCAGTATCCAAAAAGTCATTTTCTAAAGAATCATCTCAGAACATAGCAATAAGTTAAACAGTCACACACAAACATGAGCAAATCCAAGAATCCAGCTTTTGCCATGTGGGAGAAACGGGCATCTTCCAATACGGAACTGCCAGACATTGCTCGTCTAGCGGTGCCAAGTGCCAGCAGCAGCACTGCAACGAATGTTGGCTACAAGATACGAAAAGCGAAGGCCTTGGAAAGGGTGGAACAATTTTCACCCAAAATGACCGCGAAAAAGGTTGTCGTCACATCGTCATTGGCGGACCGAATGAAAAAGTTTAGCGAAAATGATAATGGCACTATACCATTCAGCTTTGCTGGTTCGACCAATAGCAACAAGTCAGCCAAAGCCTATCAAGCGGAAGAAGCCAAGAAAAAACGAGCCGAAAACAGTAAGAAGCGACACGAGTTACGAAAAAAGAATCAGGAAGAGGAAGAAGCTTCAGCTAGCACATCTGCCAAGCGAACAACGAAACGAGGAGCCCCAGTCAAACAACACAGTATTACGGCAGCTCGAGTCAATTTGGACCAATTCGTTCCACCAACCTATCCCAAATCAGACGCCGACGCCAAACTGCTACAAGAAGCCTTGCGACAGAACTTTGTCTTTGAAAATCTCAACGAGTCCGACGAGACTAAGCTCACCCAGGCCTTTGAAAAGATGCAAGTCCATGAAGGGCAAAAGATCATTAATCAAGGGGATACAGGTGATTACTTTTACGTCATTGCCGAAGGTGCCGTTCGATTTGAAGTCAATGGCAAGGGGGTAGGAAAGTCAGAGGCGGGTAAATCGTTTGGAGAATTATCTTTGCTATACACCTCGCCACGAGCAGCATCGGTCATTGCCCAAGAGAATCCCACCGTTCTCTTCAGAGTCGACCAGAAGACATTCCGATACGTCATGGAGACCAAGGCCAAGGAATCAGAAAATGAAAAGATGGGACTGTTGAAGAAGATTGGATTCTTGAAGGATTTCAAACATTCCGACTTGACGAGGCTGTGCGACTGTATGGTTCCACGCAATTTCGAAAAAGATGAAGTCGTCGTCACCAAGGGAGAAGAAGGTGACTTGTTTTACATTCTCAAGGAGGGTCTCATGAAGGTGACAGATATTTCAGTCGGTGGAACTGCTTACGAAGACGTGACCTTGTCACCCGGTGATTACTTTGGAGAACGAGCGCTGCTTCTCAGTGAACCACGAGCAGCCAATGTCGTTGGAATGCAATCGGGTTCCTGTTTCGTCATAGATCGATTCACCTTTGAGAAGGTTTTGGGAAGCTTTTCGCAAGTCATCATGCGATCTCAAGATCGTGTCAAATTGGTACGTAGACTAGGAATGAAAAACTGCTGAATGTTCATATACGCTCGCTATTGTCTTGCGTCTCGCTTTCTTGACTCACCTCGTCGCCCTCCTTGTCTCTTACTATAGGAAGGTGTCAAGACCATCAAGGACGCAGGTCTCGAAGGCGAAGTTTTGGACAAGTTGGTCGACGTCATTATCGATCGCGAGTTCGAAGCCGGAGAAAACATTCAAGAAAAGGGCAAGGAGACCGAAGCTGCCCTCTACCTTATTCACGAAGGGACTGTCAACATTATGAGTACGGACATCGGTGCTGGAGGCTACTTTGGGGACGAACAGTTGCTGGCCGATGCCCAAGGTCAATCGAACAGTGAAGGATTCATTACTGCTGAAGAGACTGTTACTTGTTCGACTGATGTGGTTTGTGGCGTGCTCACATTGAAGGAATGCCGTCTCTTGATGGATACCAAGACAATCACGACTGATTTTAAGAAGGATGACTATGAATTCCGTAGCTCAGCCATTCTGAAGCGTCGTTCGACCATGAAGGAGACCTTCCAGAGCAAGAAAATCTCCATGGAAGAGTTGGATCGAGAAAAAATGTTAGGAGAAGGAGCCTTTGGCGAGGTTTGGTTAGTCAAGGCTGATATATGGGGACTGGGAGATGATGAATACAAGGAAGAATTTGCTCTGAAGGTTCAGAATTTGGATAACCCGGAGCACGCGAATATGAGAGATACCATCAAACGAGAAATGGAGGTAATTTCTACGCTGGAGCATCCATTTATTGTCGATTTGGTCAGTTGTCATGAAACAGAAACAGAGTCGATGATGCTCATGACAGTTGTCAAGGGAGGAGAGCTATGGAATGTGGTGCACAAGGAGCAGGACGACGGAGAATGGCTTTCGGGGATAAGCGAGGAAGACACCAAATTCTACTCGCTTATCATTGCCGATACCCTCGCCTATATGCACTACAAGAACATTCTGTTCCGTGATTTGAAGCCCGAGAACATTCTCATCGATCGAGATGGATACCCAAATATCATCGATTTCGGTTTTGCCAAGTTTTGCAAGGACAAGACGTACACCTTTTGTGGAACGCCGAACTACGTAGCTCCCGAAATCGTCTTGTCCCAAGGACACGGAGCCGGTGTGGACCACTGGGCCTTGGGTGTCACAATCTACGAAATGATTGCGGGAGAGAATCCTTTTTACTACGAAGGAGTTGACACTGGTACACTGTTCCAAATGATCGCCAAGGAGGAGCCTTACCCCTGTGAGAAGGCTTCCGCTGATGCCATGGATCTGATCAACGGGCTTTTGGAGAAGGATCCCACTCAAAGACTGGGTGGATTGGCCGGGAAAGAGAGAGACATCTTGAATCACAAATGGTTTGAGGATTTGGATCTAGAAATGCTTCGTCACAAACTTGTGGATGCACCATGGAACCCACCTATGCCATCAGGAGGTGACGATTAGAAACTACTAAGGCGGTGATTGAAAATTTGCTCGCAAAAGCTAAATGTAGTTGATACAAAGATGGAATGGTTCCAATCCCAGTATACTTAATTCTATAGAACAGAAATACATATATTGGGAAGGGAGCCATCTCAGCAACTATGCCACTTGCAGCAGACTAATCATGATTGTAACTGTTGCGACAGCCATCAACGGCATGGTGGTGGCTGATGCCACGTCGACCTTGGGAGCTTCTGTTGGCGACCAAGTGAAGGACGTTTCCTGCTCGGAAGCGTCTCGGCATGTAGTCATGCCCCCTTGTCCATATCCAATGGGCGCCCGACACCGGCAGGCCAAGAGGAAACCATTGTTGTCCAAAAAGGTGACTTCTTCATTGTCTCTGGCGCAAACAGTGTCCCCCGAATAGGTATTGTCGAAAACACAATACGGATATTCCACATCGTCTTGAAGTGAGTTGCGACTAAACGTTGGCGATGATTGCTTGTTGCAAAAGCTAGGCCAGTCTTCGGCAGACCCACATTTGCCTTGAACAAGGGATCCAAAGGATGCTCCGTGCTCAATCCGGACAATATTTCCTTTTCCATCTTTGATTTCGCAGTCCATATCGGCAATCAAGAAGGGGTCGGCTGTCGGTTCTGCAGTTGGCGCTACACTTGGAGCTGATGTCAATTCGACACAGTCGGAAGAAAAGGCGTTACCATCAGTAGAGTTCACGTTCAGCTGGCAAGTGCAAGAGCGAACATTGAAGTCTGATCCTTCAAAGATGACACTTTCCTTGTCTCTGGCACAGACGACGTCATCATCAATGGCGTTGAAGGTACAGTAAGGGCATTCCACTTGTCCCTCGTTGCAAAAGCAGGGATAGTCGTCTCCGCAGATGTTTGCCTTTTCTCCTTCGTAAATATAGTTGCCATTGGGAACAATCTTCTCGGCGCCACTTGGCAAAATGACAAGACAAGAGGAATCGTTGAGATCGTCCTTATTGTTGCCATCATCAATAACCACATTATCAGTGTCATTGTCTGTATTGTTGTCGTTATCGACAGTTTGATCATTATTATTTCCAGACACGCTATCGTTGTCGTCGTTGTTGTTGTTGTCGCTAGTGCTGTCATCCACCATACCAATCGTGCACTCGGCGGATGGATTCATTCCACCTGACGCTTGACAGCTGCAGGTTTGATCCACCCCTTTCAAATCGGTAAAGCGGACCATTTCTTCATCGCGAGCGCACGATAGACCTCCTCCTTGCAAGGCAAAACTGCAGTAGTTGCATTCAATGGGTGGACTCAAGTCGGGATTGCAGTAGCAAGGGAAATCAGCAGCCGAACCGCATCGTGTAACAAAGCTGTCTCCATAGCTTTCCCCTCGCTGGAAGACTTGACCACTGAAGCTGCACGTATCACTGCTTTGGGCTAGATTGATCGTGGCATATTGATCCGTAGCAGCAGTCTCGACAGTAGTGACCATCAATACAAAGAGACACAATGAGAATAATGACTGCAAGCTGAAGGCTGAAAGAGATCGGATCATTGTCTGTCGTTGTTATCAGTTGGTTCCGTTTTTCCCTTTGTTTCAGGAAGAAAAAATGACGTTTGAAAGTGAATTGCGTTCATTCTAGTTACGGAATGCCTGACTGGATCTCTAAGAATGACAACCGTTGTACTCATTCATTCGGAGGCCTCAATTATTCG